TTTAAATATCTTATGAATGTTGTTGCGGGTAATATCTTCCATGCTATTTATTGTACGATAGTGTTGTGTTGGATAAGGAATCGGTGTTATTTTTGAAGGTTTGTTTCAAAATTTGTTTTATTTCAAATCTAGAATTTTCTTCCATGAAAAGATATTTCAATTTTAATGTTTAACTAAATTTCCAACAACGAATTATCCCCGAGAGCGTATAGATTTTGACGCAACTATTTGCTAGTGTTATTACAAAAATCTTATATTTTAAGTGAATAATATAAAGTTTTTCTTTTAAAATGTCCTAACCAAAAACCAATTTTTCTTGATCTCGGGCCAAAGTAATTATGAATTTATGATAAAAATGAAAGAATTGCTTTAAATTCATGCAACTTTAACGGAAAAAATACGGAAGTTCCCTCTAAATCATTGGGTATTTGGACAAAATTATAAATTGAACTGGCTTTTACTTGATGAAAATCCATTTATGAAAATAAATGAGAACTAAAAGTTCAGATTTTAACGAAATTATATATTTTGATATGACAATTGTTTCGACAGCACCGTGTCTTTATCAAATGATAAAGATTGAAAATCTGAACTTTTAGTACCTATTTATTTTTACAAAATTGTAAGTTAATGCCTCAATTTCATATAATTTAAAGATTTTTTTTGTAATGGATCAAAAGCTCCATGAATTTTGCGCATTTCAAAGAATCATTTTAAAAACCACGTTGTGATCGAAACGTTCAATAAAATTTTTAAAAAATTAAAGAATTTTGCTATTAGTGAACAACCTCGACACCAGGGCCCAAGAATAAAAAAAATCCTTGATTTATTAAGTTAATATTACTTCCAATTTAAGTGCGGAACAAATTAAAACGTGCCTCTAACATTTTACTCAAAACTACTTTTAACCGACATTAGTTGCTTAATCTAAAGCTTAAACAAGTACGTTTTATTTTGACAAAATGAAAATTAAGCAATTTTACAAATTATTTTTTATACCCCTTAAATTCTATATGCTGATCTAACCTAACGGAATGCACTGGCTTACCTTCGTTTCTAGCCTGCTGATCGATTATCATCCGCATCTGGCGCTTCTTGAACTGCAAAAATTGCCTGATCACAATCACGAGAAGGATGACGAGCATCAAGAAGAAAATCAATCCCAACTCGTCGCCCCTGTGCAACATCATCTCGAACAGTTTATCCACCCACCACAATACCTAACGTACTGCGGGGTCTAATAAAATGACGTACACTATAAATCGGGTCGTCAGGTGTTAAAAGATTAGATAACGCCCTGCCTGCCGAAGAATACACAAACATGTGTGCTGGAAGATTTACGCCAGAGATTTTATTATAAGTCGGATGACTTTAGATAAATTTGATTGGTCCGCATTGGGTTTACTCGAAAACACGGACTCATTTTTGGGCTATAAACATTCGCAACGATTTGATTAAAACGTACGGAAAGTTAGGTTAGGTGAAACAATTCTTCGCCGACTCTGTTTAAAATGACGCTACGCGCTAACAGGTTATGATGAAAGTGGGTTATGTGGAAGGACTAGAAAGTGATTTATATCTGAAAGATGTCCTAATGCGATTGTTTTAAACCAAACCAACCAAATATTATTATTAAAATATTTCGATTGCTTACAATGAACGTTCATGATCATTACGTTTCATGATTTTACTAATTTTTGAATGGAAGTTACAACCTGGTTCCAGTGATTAATTAATTCACTCAGAAATTTAATTAAAAATAGGTACCTAAACACCTAAAGTAGGAATTGATTCATAATTCTAGCATTGAGAAAAATTGTTTAGTGAAAGTTGTTGTTGAAACGACCAACCAGAACATACATTTTTTCCAATAAAAGAGAATTTACTGATTTTTTTTTGCTCGAATGTGGTAGACAACGATTGAGTAGAAATGCTAAGAGCTTGTTGAAGTTCCACTTCGATTGCGCACAGAGAACCACGTCAGTTTCGTATCCCACGGATCCGAGCCACTTCGAACATTTCCGGGATTTGACCGCACGAGTTTGGGAACAATGGGATGTTTTCAGAGATTTCACCACAAAGTTTGAATTTTGACGCTTTTCAATTCTGAGTGAATGTCTTCGTATTGTTTTGCAAAAATGTACCCAAAAACTAATACACAGAAAAATGTTATGCAATATATCGAAAAAATTAAATACTACGTGCTATGAGCTACAATTAAAATCTAGTGGACTAGTCGGTAAGTAAAGTGACATTTATTTATTTATTTGTTTCCCACAGAAATTTTACATAACGTTCGCATGAACTTTAGTGGTTTTTCCAGTTTTTATATTAATATCTTGCCAACACCAATTGTACGATTTTCAAATATCCATGTCTCATCAGTACAAACAAAACAAAATTGAAGGTTAGGATCTGCTTTTTATTGTTTATACGATCTTAAACATTTAATCCTTTTAAAAGCTCCAGTCTTGGATGATTTTTCTTCCAATTAGAGTCTTTTTCTTTAAATAAACTATTTAATCATCAACTGTAAAAGTTAAATAAACGACATAACAAAGTATAGTATGCAACAGGTTTGGTAAACTCTTTATCTTATTTGTTTATTAAACACTCGCTCCGCTGCGCTCCGCTCGTGTCAAATAAACTCGTGAGTCAAATACCATTTACCGCACTTGTTGCATAATACACTATTTTCTACTCTCGTCTGTGAAATGGCTAATTACACACCCATCTAGCGTGCGGGAAGCGTCACTTTAATTTTGACGTTTGGCAATTCTAAGCTATTATCTTGATTCGGGATGAAAGGCCGTCGTCGGTTGGAATTACTTCCTAACGTTTCGCTAGCACGAGTGGCCAGCTTCTTCAGAGGTCCTTCCTTCTACGATGTTGGACGTACACTGACGATTTCTCCTGCGCAGGTTGTATTTATGCCGATTAGTGGTGGGCGGGGCTTGTTCCGCTTCGATTGGTCTCGGGATATCGATCGGTACTGCTCGGGCGTTCCTAAGGATCGGGTTCCAGATTTGGTTGAGTCTAAGGGTCTCCTCCTTTCTGTTGAAATTGTGTGGGTGTTTTTGTATCTCAAGGGCTTCCCTGACTAGTCTGTTGTGATAGCCGTTGACCGATGCTAGTAACTTACAGCTCTCAAAGTGCATCCTGTGTTCCCCGCTGCCCAGTGCGTGTTCAGCTACTGCAGACTTCTCTGTCTGTCCTAGCCTGCAGCTTGCTTTATGTTCCTTAAGTCTAGTTCCCATTGATCTCTTGGTAGTTCTGATGTAGACCTTTCCGCATGAACACTCTTTCATTTTTTTTTAATTCTCTTGGTCAGAGATACCAAAGTGTAATTTTAGGAAATACTCATTCTGATGCCATTGCTTTGGAGAGGGGTGTTCCCAGGGTAGTATTCTAGCACTTATTTTGTTCTCAGTTTATACAGCTGGCTTCTCTACTTTCCTCAAATTTTGTAAATCTCTTCAATACGCCGATGATATTCAGTTATATTTATCTTTTGTTGCTAGTGAAGCTTTAAATGTGGCTACTAAAATAAATTTAGTTCTAAAATAATTTCGGAGGTATCTGCGGCTCACACCCTCTTATTGAATAATAACAAAACGTAGATGTTATTATTTGCAAATAAAAGGGAAGATATTGTAAAGAACGCCTCATTTATGATTACGGTAAATGATGAGCTTATCTCTTCTTCTTCAGACTTGCGGTTTTCCAAGCATCTTGGCTCCTTCTATAAGTTGAGAATATTGTATATTCATAAACATTTTCTCATTATTGCTTATTGCAATGTTGTCTATTGCCCAGCTATACTTAATCGAGATAAGGAGAGATTCCAACGACTTCAGAATGCTTGTATTCATTTTAGTTACAATCTCGGAAAGTAGGACCATATTTTACGGTGCCTCTCTGGTTGGCTCAACCTGGAGGACCTATATAAAGTTCAGTTAACCACCTTTGTTTTTTTTCACCAAACTCTATTTGTTTGATAAACTTTGCAGAGGAAATGAGATTCATAATCGAGACACCCGTCATTGTTTAAGATATTGCGTTCCTATACACACTTCGGTAAATTTTCAGAGATCTTTTAGCTATAACGCAGTTAAATTATTTTATACCTTGTGCTATAATGTCCCTTCCCACAATAAAGTCCTCCAAAAAACCGTTTATATTGTCTATTCGGCTCGCCAGTATCTAATAAAACCGTATGAGTTTATGATGTGCGTCTATTTCTTGTATTTACGATGTATATACGGGAGTATATTTTGTTGACAATTATGGTGTCGGTGCTGTTGTTTTTGTGGTTACATGGAAGGCATTTTGCAAATGTCGCCACTCCTGTATTATTACTTATGTTTTAATATTTTGATTTTCTATAGACAGTTTATTATTACTATTAGATTAGAAAACACACAAAAAACTGTTAGACGAAAGCACCTTCAAATAAAGCAAAACTTATCACCATAATACACACTGGATCAGAAGAGGCATTTGTTCCAAACTGTTTGCTCTTTTCTGCAGTGAATATTAAGGATTGGTTTATCATGGGGATAAAAGTGTTGAAATTTTTGAAAATTGGTTTCAAAAAAATTGACAGCATAAAAAATTCGGTACAGGCCATAATGCAAACTGGGGGCTCTTACAATTCTATACAAGACAGCACAAATCCTGTTATAATTAATCTCAATAGCGTCTTAGATAGGATACGAAACTATAAATCTATTGTACATATTTAACGTGATTTTTTTTTCTTATGTAATTTAATAATATTATACGCCCTTAAATTAACCAAAAAAAAAAAAATACTACCAAAACTTTTGAGAGTCCGTCCTTAATTTTGGTGCCGTCGGCAGGTAACTTCCATAATTGAGAGCAAAAGCCAGTAAGATGTAGATTTGTCACTGCAAAACTTTTGTGTTTTAAAATGTTACATAAAAACACTTTTATAACATTTCTTTTTTATATTTATTTTCATTGAAACTAGTGTGCGGTAATGGAAAAAAAATTATAGTATTTATGAAAATCCGGTTTAATAAAGAAATGGTTCTGACTTAATTTAAAATAACATTAATGTTCAGAATCTTTCATATAATAAAAATGCATATTTGCGTTTCTTGTTCATTCTGAAAATTCGGATTTATACTTCGCGAATTACATTTTTTTTTATTCTCCCATCTCACTGGCGCTTTTTGTCGATCTTCTCGAATTTTTCTACCGCATCGAATACGTCTTTGGCGAACACTCGCGGCTCCTCCCAAGCAGCAAAATGGCCGCCATCGAAATCGTTCAGCTGGACCAAATTCTTGAAAACGTCCCTTACCACGCCGTCCGCGACGTAGAAGTCGTACTTAAATCGGGCTATTGCGGTGGGAACCTCGATCGGATTGCTAAGAAGCACTCAGATTAGTCGTCGAATCGCTACAAAATGGCCGACCAGTGCAATATTTCGATAAATTTTGACCCTTAGTGATTTTTTTTATTTTAGAAGCCTGTTCGGTTATGTTTAGTTTATATTGTTGCAAATTTAACGTACGAACGTACGTACCTCTTTTCAGGAACTAGTGATTTGAGAAAAAAGAAGTTTATACAAAAGTTTTGTGGTTTAAATTAAATTTTAAAATTATTTATAAGAACAATGTAGAGCTTTGAAATTTTGTTTTCTGCTCGGTAAAAGTGCTGCCGAAACTGTTTCGGTTTTAAAAACAGCTTATAAGGACGATGCGATGGGAAAAACCTAAGTGTACCAGTTGTTTGTTCGCTTAAAAAATGGCGACGAGTCAATTGATGACCGACCTCGTTCTGGACGTCCATCAACTGCTCGAATCGACGAAAATATTGAAAAGATTCGAGAGTTTGTGCTCACAGACCGTCGACAAACACAGTGAGTGTGTGTGTGTGTGTGTGTGTGTGTGTGTCCTATACCTAAATCTAATCAGAGAATCTATAGAAATCTATAAGCAACCAAACATGTCACCAATGTGACAAGGCAACCTTTTTGAGCACCTTCTATAAAATGTAAAATTTATAATTTTTATTAAAATAATTAGCTTTACAGTTGATAGTTTGATTCGTCTTCATAAGAACATTCCAAAGAAAAACTATTTTTTACAACAATGAACAAAATTGAAAGCTGTCGAATAATTAATTTTTATTCACCCAGAAACACAAACAAATGAAACGCGTTATTAAGCTCCAGCGCTTACTAATGGTTATCTGCACCTCGATTGTAAACATTAAGATAAAAAAAAATTGTAATTAAATTTTCAAAAGTATTTTTCCCGAAAACGTTGTGTTCTAGCGAGGTGCGACAAGGGTATCTTATTTACGTGGAAAACTCCGCCACGCCTCCCCTGTGTTGCCCAGCTCTGACGACAATTCAATACTAAGTTTTAGTTCTTGAAATAGGGCCTAAAAAGTTTAGTAACTTTACTAAATTTTATTTAAAAGTATTTATATGTTTCGAAAATATTTACAAAAAATCGAAATTAACACCCTGTATGTTAAAAACTAAGACGTTTTGAACCCTAGTTTTTATGAACCTTTATCATTATTTTGGGTCACAGAATATGTGGTTAAAATATTGATTTCTAATTTCGGGACACCCACTATAAGCAGGTATAGAGCTGAATGCGAGCTCTGAAGAAGTCAACACGATGATCGGCGAAACGTCAGTAAGTTCGTTAAAAGAGCAACCGATGCAGGAGGAATCCATACGTTTTGTAAAAAGTAAACCGAAAAATTATCAAAATATTGCAAGGATTTGTTGTAGTCGCTCACCCTAAGCTGTTTAAAAATCCGTGAGATCTGTTAAACGTTTCGGAATAGAGCCTGAACGAGGTAGTCGCGGTCCCAGTCAACCAGTAGATCATTACGTTGTCCAACAGTTCGGTGTAGGTGAACTTTTCGTCGAGGCCGCCATCTTCGCGCTTCTGCCACGTGATATTGGTGCCGCTGGTGAATTTTTCCAAAATGTACGCGGCTAATCCGGCTGGCGAATCGGTTACGCCGACCCCTGTGGAAATTACATTTTCAATTTTACTTGTTGGATTCCCGCGGGGGTTGTTAAAAGGCACGTTCAAATTTAATACATTTATTCACTTGTGGCGAAAAGGACATACTTATATGTGCTTAATATACGCGATTAAAATATAACTTCGAACTTGGGTGACTTATAGTGATTATTTAATTTTCAATTTTGATCCTTTTTGTACTATCTTTGACGAACACAAGAAGAAAAACGAAGTAATAATTTCACGTAATAATGACACGTCCAAACGGTTAAGATTTCAGGCCAAAACAATTACACAGGTCTACAGTGCTTTTGATGTTTTAAAGCTCTTTGCTTATTTGTATATATTTTTTGAAAACAACGCAATATTTTTGAGTCATTCTTTTATAGCGCTCTAAATCTATATGTCCTCAAAACGTTTGTTCTATGTTAGGTATAATTTTTAACTGAATTGATTTTTATGAAATTAAATGTGATTTGGCAACACCGGATAATATTAGATTTATCTGCAAAGCAACTGAGTTTGCGCAGAAGGGTCAATAACCTGCTTATGTGCAGTTTGGTTGTATTGGTCGTCGTGCTACTATGTTCGCGGCTGTTGTCTTCCTTGTTGCGTATTTCTAGTATTCTAGAACGTATAAATATGGAAACAAGACATTGTGTGAACAAAACAAATAACTTTTGTTATATATGCAGTAGTTATGGCGTACTAAAGCAATGGCAAACTATAACTCCTAGGCTCCGCATACTGGCTGTTCCGTTTGCGTTGAAGCATTAAGAGACTGCCAAAAAAGATAAGAAGAAATTTTTAAGCTTGGGTGTTCCTATGGTATAATGAGAGCTTATGAATCACGGTGATGATTGTTACTTTTGTTCGTGTATTGTTCAAGGATTCAACCGAAAACGTTGTGTATCCCAATCTTGACTCTTCTCTTCGACCAGTTCCTCGTGGACCAGATGTACCGATACCTAACGCCCCAAAAGAATTAGAAAGCGCCATATCGTCAGAATCAGAGGAATCTAATTCCGGCCCAGATGACTGAGATTTCAGAGTGTTTAACCTTCCCAAGGATTCATCTGAATCGTGAGCGGCCAGACTTCGTGACATCTGGTACCTGACGTCATATCAAACTTTTACCAAGATCGCGAAAACAAGTCATGTCAATATTTTACTCAGGAATGACCGCCAGTGCAGCAATATTCCTAAGTTTCAAAATTAGGAAATATGCCGTACATGAAAGAAGAATGGTGCCTGTTTAATGTTCATTGCACAATGGTAGCATACTGGCTTTGGTTCCCGTTGCACATTCGGTAAATTTAAAAGCAATGTATTAAAGTTTAGGAATTTTTTTGAAGAAAATAAACTACCCAGAACATCAGTGGATGCTTTGAGGTGACTTTGAAGTGCTGTGTATGATATTAGGAAAACAGGAGGGTTATACTAAATTTCCATGTTTTATTTGTGAGTGGGATAGTCGGGCGAGAGATGGACATTGGCCAAATAGCCTAGAACAAGCCTTACACATGGTAGCAAAAATTTATTAAGAGATGACTGATGAATGTAACTACATTCACACTTAACAACGACACAAATGTCCAAAGACAAAGAAAACCTCATACTCGAAGCCAATTTACTTGAGGGCCAAATTTATAGTCGTCCCTGGAAGCTTCCTTGTCGCTTAAACTGTCCATTAAATGAAATTCTTTCCAAAAACGTTTTAAGGGATCATATACCTACACCTACATACTTAGTTTATTTAAAACGTGTGAAACTAAATGTGCGTGTCTTTACTTGATATCTCATTGTCCAGCTTGACTTCGTCAACCTTTTGCAATGTTGCCATCATATTTAATTGAATAACTGAAGATTGGCTTATTAAAATTTATTCAAACTCGGCACGCGGGTTTCTTCAAAAATTTGTATAAAATGTTGGGGCACCTAAAATTTTGTATAAGATTTATTATGCCCTGTTCGGCAATGCATCACCCGAGATGTTATTCATTAGTTAATCATGCCTTCAAAAAGTTATATTACAACTTTGCTATAAAATGTACTGGGGAGGCCGATATTTCGCCAAGTAAACATTTACATGTATTCGTCGGTTGTTATTTTTTCTTCTCAAAACTCAGATGTATCGGTTTTTTGTAATTATTATTATGCTATACATCTCAACTCTTACTCTCCTGTTTTCAGCCGAGGCTTTGCTTGCACTCAATTCAGAAACTTAGTTGCAGTATGACAGCCTTCTGTCCGTACTCCACGATGTTCTGTGGAAGTCCGATGTCTTTTAAATTTTTGGAGAGAATTTCCTCCGCCAAAATTACAAATGGGTATATAAACCCTTTATTCAGCTGCCAAATATTTTTCAGTTCCACGGCCAAATTTTCATATTTTTGTATTTTTTCTGCTTCAGTTTTAGATTATTATTATTACTATTATTATTTTTATTGTTATTAATATTAATCTATCAGTTATTGTTTCAATGTTTGAATGTTCATCGCTATACCTACCAAGTGTGTCTGGTTTCGTTGCTTGTAAATGTAAGTATCCAGTCTCACGCATCGTTGACTGAAAATGTTGCCATAAAGGATATACTCTGTTGTGGTGTTCCGGTTTCACTATCCACGAAGGGCGAATAACGCCTAAAATGGTCTTCAGTCTCGACGCAGTGCCTAGAATTGCCATGTTGGTATGGTATCCTAATACTGATTCGGGATAATAAAGGCATAGGTACTGCAGAATTATTGCACCAAAATCGCCACCTAGAACAATAGATTAGGTTCCATATTAGTATATAATTCGTTTCGCTCAAATGTGAGGTAATGAAAAAGAGCATACATGTATTTTTTTTCTTTTCAAAGATACTTTTGCAGGTAACTGTAATACTGGTGTCTGGATTTGTTTTTTATTTATAATTTTATCTATAATGGACGTATTATAGCCGTTGTTCAGTGCAATTTGCTTAATGATATTAAGTTCTTTGTTGAAATTTTCTGTTGAGAGTGGCGTATTAAGAAGTCTGTGTATAAAAAAGTGAAATATAGCCATTTTGTGTGTATAAGGGTGATTTGAGTTGTTATGTATGGCTGGAAAAACCTAATTTGTTTTGCGTTTTCGTAATAGTTAAGTCTAAAAAATTAATAGATTTATCCTGTACAATCTCGATAGTGAATTTTATACGATTATGTAATGAGTCAATGTAATTTTAAAAAGAATTAAATTGCCATCGATTTCAACAAAGCAAGCAAAGAGATCATCCACGTATCTATACCACCATAGAAAACTTTTAATTAAAGGATGTTCTAGTATGATATTTTCCAAATTATCCATAAAAATCTCGGCTAACAAAGGACTAAGTGGATTTCCTATAATCAAACCTTCCTCAGAGATGTAAATCTGCCCATTAAATTCAAAATAATTTTGGTCTAAAGATACTATTAAGCAATCTAAAAAATCTTGTTTCACCAATGGCTTAATCTGTTTCTGAGTTAGGGTGAAATCTACTACATCTATCACATTCATAAGTGAAATACCGGGAAATAAGATTTGTACGTCAAAAGACAATAGCGTCACGTTATAAGGGATTTTGATATCTTTAATTTGGTTGATTAATTGAAAATAATTTTTTATTGCAAATTTTGGTTTGAAATCTGTGTAGAACTTTAAAATATGTACTAATTTTGTTGAGAGTTTAACTGCTGAAGCTGTTACATAAGGCACTACTGGCCTAATGGGCATATCTTGTTTATGTAATTTAACTATAGAATATAATTTCGGCGGTTGTGGATTCCCTATCTCTAAAATTTCAATGAGTTAGTTATTCTAGTAAATGCTAGATGGAACGTTTTGAATTTAAACATGAACACTTAGGACATTCTATTAGGTTGTTCGGAAAGTCATTTTGTTTTTTTTGGGGAACATGAAAGACAGTTTTCGTATAATGAATAAATATTTTATTAAATTATATATTGGCCATTCTGGTCCAACACCTTTTGCCATCTTTCTGGCAGTAACATAATTCCCCTCTCATAAAAGTTTTGGTCCTTGCTGGCAAAAAACTGGTTCAGGTGGTTCTTGACATCTTCATTTGAGGTAAAGGTTTTGCCATCCAAAAAATTTTGCAGGGACCGGAACAAATAGTAGTCGGAAGGCGCCAGATCTGGAGAATATGGTGGATGTTGCAGTACGTCCCATTCAAGCTGTAAAAGTTTTTGGGGAGTGACCAAACTTGTGTGAGGTCTCGCATTATCCTGGTGGAACACTACACCCTTCCTGTTGATTAATTCGGGCCTCTTATCTTTAAGTGAATCATTCAATTTGTCCAGTTGATGACAATAGACTTCTGAATTAATCGTTGCATTGTCCGGCAAAAGCTCAAAAAAAACGATTCCTTTGACATCCCACCAAACGGAGAGCATCACCTTTTTTTGGTGAATGTTGACTTTTGACACGCTTTGATCCGGTTCATCTTTTCTGCTCCATGACCTCTGACCAGTAATAATCCGCTTCAAAAATGGATCATTTTCTTGACGTTTGAGGAGCGAATCACACACGTCAACGCGACGACACAAATTTCGCTCCGTAAGGACAAGGGGCACCCACACATCGAGCTTCGAGGTTAAGCCCATGCCTTTCAAATGGCCATAAACAGTCGAATTCGACAAATTTAATCTCTCACCGATCTCTCGTGTGGTTATTCGCCGATTTGCATCAACTAATGCCTTTATCGCATCTTTGTCAACTTCGACCGGCCTTCCAGACCGTGGTGCATCTTCGACATCAAAATTGCCGGATCGAAATTTTGCAAACCAGTTCTGGCACTGGCGTACTGTTAACACGCCTTCTCCATACACATCCGTCAATTTTTTTCTCGCTTGGTCAGCATTTTTACCTTTTCTGAAGTAAAAAAGTAAAATATGACGAAAATGCTGCTTATTGCTCTCCATATTTAAAAGGGCACCAACCAAAAACTACTGCGTAGAATTAATAGAACTTTTTCACACACAAGCCTTGCAATATCAGCTCTCAAGACATATGATGGTTATGCGGCTTAAGTGTGAAGTTGGTTTCGAAAAAACGTAATTAAGTCCTCTGACGGGAAAAAACGAAATGACTTTCCGAACAACCTTATAACATAGAAAATAGATAAAAATAATATTGCATTACTAAAATATAAATAAAACGCAAAATTCGAAAAAAAATGACTTAGAACGTTTTAACTAAGGAGTAGATCTCCTATCTTCCGGTTAGGAAAATGAAAATTATCCGCTTTTAAGGGCTAACAACAAAATGGTTTTCATAAAAATTTACCTTGGCAATAAAATTTATCATAGCCGAGACGGTTCATGAAGTTTCGAAATATAGTAGCCATCTGGGCAGCACCAAGGCCGGGTTTAGCTGCAGCTTGGGAAAATCCGTAGCCCGGAATATTGGGCGCAATAACTTCAAATACGAAATTTCTGTCGTTTTGTGGATCGGTGAACAGAGGAATGACCTAAAAGCATAAATTTGGCTATCGGGCTCAAAATTCCGCTTCATTGATGTCTGCAGAGATATTATTCTCTGTTAATTTATAATTTTTCTTTGCAAAACTAATTAACAACAACTGAAAGACAACAAAACAATTACAATTAGAAAAAAACTGTAAATGGAAAAAATCACTTGGTTTTGACCACATAAGAACGGAAACCGTTGCTGAATAAACAAACTTTTTGAAACGGAAAACTTTCCCGATGAAAATTTCTATTGTAAAACTATTTCAGAAAGGCGACGAAATCTTCTCAGAAAACTATCGTCCAGTACCACTTATAAGTAAGTATAAAATTTTCAGAATATAATGCAAATAACATGAAAAATTTATTAACATTAATGTTATTTTAAATAAAACCAGTACAATCTCTTTATAATTAAACCCGTTCTTCAAAAATTTGAATAGATATAAATGAAACAAAAAAAGTCGTAATAAAAGATTTTTATTTATAGATACGCACGTTGATCGTGTCGTAGGAAATTTTACAGTGAATAATTATTACTTGTGATTATAAAAACTTAATGTAATCAATAATTCAACAATACTTTTGATACATTCATTGCACAACACGCAATTCGTAAATTAACAAACTATTCTTTGCAGTTTTAAAAACAAAAGAAAGTTTATGTTTATTTTATATTTATTATGTCTTCTATCTGCAAACATGTGTTTGGAATTAAGTGTCTTTCTAATTTATACAAATCCAGTTCTCTTTTGAAATGAGTGAAATTGCCTGTAAAATATTTTTTAGGATTTTGAAGCCTGCGTTATTTTTAATTACTGGCACAATTTTTTTTATAATAGCAGCCCCCACAGTACCTGAAACTTTTTTGCAATCTTTTTTAATCATGTTCAGTTTGCTTGTAAAGGACATCAACACTACCTCTCTGTAGACTGTGTCCTATTTGTGGGCATGTCCGTTGTTTGTGAAACTAACAAAAAATTTCATGACTCGCTTAGTTTTTAAATTACAGGGTGATTTTAAAAACTTGAATTTTTGATGCATCCCTAGTATCTCGGGTATCCTATGAAATATCGAAATGTTTTTTTTCTAAATAGTGTCGTTTTTTTGAAAAAAAAAGTTTTTTTTTAATAGAACACCTTATAAGCCAATTTGATTGGCTTGGTAGGAGATTTGCAAAAATGTATAACAGTGTTAAATAACTGTATAAATTAAATTAATTAAATTAGTCAATTAAAATTCAAAAATTATTTTAATAAATTATTTAGTTTAATGAATTAAATTTAATTAATTAATTAAGTTAATTATATTTATTTAAATCATAATTTAATCGATTAATTTAATTAATTAACTAATCGAAGTACTCAAAAAAACGCATATGTCAATCTCCTTGTCAAAAAAGTGAAGCATTCTTTGCAGAAACTTAATTTACTATGTTAATTTACTCAAAAATATCAAAGAATAGCTATTAAAAAAAATCCTTTTGAAAACTTGAATATGTATTTAAATAGGTAAAAATTTAAGCGAATCGAACAAGATGTGGGAGTACCAAAGACGGGTTCAGAAAATATTAAAGAATCATAAATTTAACCCTTATAAAGTCAACGTAGTGCATCATTTACATGCTGGTGATCCAGATAGGAGACTGGTATACTGCAATTGGTTTTAGGCCTGGCCATCATTTTTCTAAGAAGGTAATTTAGTCGGATTCCCGAGATACGAGGGGTACCCCAAAACTTCAAATTTACAAAATCCCAGTGTTTTAAAAACTAAACAAGACTTTTTCTGTTCCCCCTCAAAATCACATCATCTTCCGACTAAATCTTAAATTCAGTTAACCAAATAGAGTAGATAGATAATTTAGCACTTACTAAATCAACTATTTGGTGATAAACTTTTTTTCTCATTTTTTTTTTTAATTTCTTTAGGGACCTAAATTTTTTACTCTTCCGTGTAGAATCGTATAACGTTTAAAAGCAAGGGTGTCGTTTACACAAATTAATAGCAGTCGATTCAAAAATTATATTTTTTATGGCTTTTGTTAAATTTGAAATAATAGCAATAGCAACAATATGTATTTTTAAATTCTGATCTTACGTTACGTTTTATTAAAACTTTTCCTAACCAAACCATTTTTTTTTTGACATTTCCTGCGAAAATAAACGTTACCAATTTTCAGGTTTTCTCAATATTGTTAATTGTTACTTGTTTCTGTAGTTAGCAATATATTTATAATAGATAAATGCCATAAATTCTATATTATTACAAAAAAATCATTTTTCTACTCTCTTCTGTAAAAATAGTATATTATGCAACAAGTGCGGTAAACGGCGTTTGACTCACGAGTTTATTTGACACGAGCGGAGCGCAGCGGAGCGAGTGTTTAATAAACGAGTGACTTAAAAAATGCCGTTTACCGCACTTTATATATATTTATAATTTTTTTAATTTTCATTTATTTGCTCCTTTAATAAACGTAACTTACCTTATAAAATTCGACCACCGATCCAGGCCAGCCGTGAATAATAAGCAACGGCACGACCTTCTTGTTTCCAGGATTTTTGGGTTTCACGTGGAGATAGTGAATGTCGAGGCCTTGAATTTTGGTCTTAAACTGAGGATACTGATTCAGGTAAGTTTCGCGTTCCTTCCAGTTGTACTCCTTGATCCAAAATGCGATCACCTTTTTGAGGAGGTCCGTATTCATGCCATACTGTTGCTGGATACCTTCCAGTGGCGGCACCAAAGGCCTCACGTTCTCCAGACGATATTTCAGATCCACCAAATGCTAAAATGTGAATGGCATTAGGAACGCAGGGTATATTTTAGACGCGGGACCAAGCAGGATATGTGAAAATATACTATTCAGGTCCTGATACAGAAGGCCAGGGACGTAAACTGCGATGTCTACGCTTGTTTCATCGTCTTCCAGAAGGCGTTTGACAAGGTACAACACCACCAAGTATTTCAAATACCAATGGAGTCTGGTATCGACAGCAAAAACATGCGCCTCGTAACTATTCTGTATTTGCACCAGAGAGCGACTGTGCGTATAGAGAACGAAACCTCCCAAGAATCGCGGAGTACTATCACCAGTTTTGTTCAACACTTATTCCGAAATACTGTTAAGATAAGCGCTTAGTGGAACAGGGGAAGGCAATAAGATCAATGGAGAGACTATCAGTAATTTAAGGTATGCGGACAATACAGTTCTTATAGCAGATAGTGCTGAGGGATTGGTATGAAGCTCAAGTGCAGGAAGACCAAAATTCTTGTAGTTAGAAAAAACGATGAGTCCTAATACCACCAGTTTAGGGCCAATAATGAAGTCTTGGAAACTAAAGATAAAATGACGTACTCGGGCTGCAGCCTGAACAAGGAATGGGAGATCAAATGCCGTATAGAGAAAGCCAGAACAGTTTTTAACCGCCTCAAAATAGTATATTTTACTATAAGAATACGGGTCCTAAGATGTTATGTATTTTTCACGTTCCTATTGACAGATCTAAGCGCTTGGAGGTCTTTGAAATTGACGCTATCGCCGCATGCTCAAGATATCATACTCCTACCATGTCACAAACAACACAGCAACTCGAAGTCATAGATAACGTGAAAGTGAGGAAGATGGCGTACCTCTGCCATGCGACGCGTAATAAGAAATATTAATTTATCCAACTAATCTTGCAGGGTAAAATAGATAGATTGTCGAAGAGGTCAGGGGCGACGACAAACATCGCTGCTGAAAAATATCAGAAAATGGACGGGAATGACGACTGTATATTTATTCAGGGCGGCTGTAAACAAGATTGTATGGTCCAACATGATTGCCAACATCCATAGAGGATCGTCACTAGAAGAAGAAGAAACGAAAAAATATCGGTGTCTACAGCTCAATAACAAAAGTTGTCCACAGAGTTTTTGAGGGTTTTATCAGTTGGTTGATCGGCGACCAGAATCTCTTGAGAAAGCGCATCCCTAATGGATGACAATGACAATGACCAACAAAGACCTGGTTTAACGCGTTGAAATTCAATGGGGAACATTAGTGGTCACTAGTTGGTAACTTCTTTTAACAAACTAACCAAAACTACCTGCTACTATATATACCGAAAAATGACAATAAAACCTTAATTAATCTTGTTGTGAGAGTTTAAGTTTAATAATGGAGAGGTATTTAAATCTAATTGATCGTTAAGCAATACATTTGATTGTCTCATTTTATTAACCTCCATGGCTTCCAATAAATTTAATTTTCTACTTTTTGTGGCTGTATGTAAAATATCAAAATTGTCGTCAAAAATGTGTTTAAGTGTGTAGCATAATTATAATCTAGACTATCGTTGTTAAACGCTCTTTATGTTCGTTAATGCGTTTCTTGAAGGATCTACATGTTTGTGCAATTTAAAATTTAGGACAAGATCCGCATTTCAACCTGTAGACACGTGATTTTTGAAATTTTGGACATTTCGTTTTATTGTTTTTTTAAAATTTTCCTCTTGTGTTGTTAGATCTGAAAGCTATTTTTACACCACATTTTGACAAATGTTTTGAAACTTTTTCACTGGGTTCTCCTATGTACGTAATTGTTCTAAATTGTTCGTGTTCTGAATTAGGTTTCAGATAAATAGAGTTTACTGTCGTCTGTATTTCTTTTTTATTTATAATTTCATCGTTAGTGGACGGATTGTTGTTCACTGTAATTTGTTTAATAATATTAAGTTCTAATAATATTAAGTTCTTTGTTGCAATTTTCTGTTGAGAGTGGCGTATTAAGAAGTCTGTGTATAGAAGCAGCCATTTTGTGTGTATAAAGGTGACTGTGTCCGTGTATGAAGGTTTATGGTAAATGGAAAAATCTAATTTGTTTTGAGTTTTCGTAATAGTTAAGTCTAAAAAAAATAATAGAGTTATCCTGTCCAACCTCGATAGCGAATTTTATACGATTATGTAATGAGCTAATGTAATTTAACAAATAAATTGACGGATCGAAGGTGTGGAGAGATTATGCGGCGATAATAATAGTAATATAATATAATAATGATATATCTTTTATTTGTCAAAAAAAGGCAATATAATTTCATTAATTACAGCACAAATCAATTTTTGACAACACGGGCTCATTTTCGATTATAATAACCATTCACCATTTTTCAAAAAAAAAAAAAACTAATGTTTTGGTGAGTATATTGTCACTAAAACTAAAAATATTTATTGAATATTTAAATTAATTATTCTAAAAGTAGATTTTGTTTTGTAATCAATTCAGATTTTATTAATTTTCTTTATGCAGATAGCCCTAATTTCCTTATTTGACTTGTAAGACTATTCCATATCCTACGAGGAACAATGTAGGTTAGGTTACTTCTTGTTCTTTGGGAATATAGGAGTTCCAACATCTCATTAAGATAAGCCGGTCAATCTGATTTTATAGTTTTATAAACAAACCTGTACAAATGCAGAATGCGGTCGATTATCTACGTTTAAATTATTAAAATTTTTCAAAAAAAGATATATATGTCTACGGTTATGTACGTTATGGGCGAAATGAGAAGTGTTTTGCAATTTTTGTATTGACCTTTGGGTTTTCCAAGAAAGAGAGTCTCCATATCCCAGATTTGCGTAATCAAACGATGACAGAACTATAGCGTTCCAGAGAAAATATTATGTAAAAATTATATAAATGATAGAGAATTGTCAAAAGATCGTTTGCTGATAAATCAGATTCTTTATCACATCTCCCAAGACAATTTCTTTCATAGTTAACGATTTTCTAGACATCTTTGTTTTTATTGGTTGATTTTTCGATAAAGCCATCAAAAGCAGCTTTTTTGGTTTGTTGAATTTTTTGTTTATATTCCTTATTTAGCGATTTATACACTTCTGTATGAAGAGGGTTCTGTGAGACTTTACTGAGAGTTTTAACAGCTGACACTCTGTTTCTAAGAGCTACTAGATCTTTATCAAACCAGTTGACCGGTGATTTTTTATGAGGAATATTGTTAACAGAACAATTTTGTTTGATCAAGTCTTGAACTTTGTGCAATATAAATGAAGACATAAAGTTGACATCGTTAGAACCAAGGCAAATATTCCAATCCACAGCCTCCAAGGACTTCCTAATATTCACAATACCTGATTTGGCAATAGTTCGAATTTTTTTAGTTCTGACTCTATCCGCCCTACCTATGCTAATACGTTTTCATTGCAATATCTTTATGGATCACTAAAGTTTTTTACTATTATTTTTATAACAACCACGATGCCTGAAGCTGCACGTGGGTATTTAGTACCGTTTCAAAATTAAAACGTGCATTTTACAAAATCGCGGCTTCACTCTATATATTGTTAATTGAACGGTTTAGTACGTACCGTTCCTGGAAATATAATAAAACTATCGCGGCTTCACTCTATATATTGTTAATTGAACGGTTTAGTACGTACCGTTCCTGGAAAATTAATTTTGAATTCTCTGATTGTCGTGTCGGGATTTTCCGGGGGATTTCCCGGACCCCAGTATGCATTCTCAATCAATTTGGGCAAAGGCCTCGACGTCAATTTGGTCCACACTGAACGAAACATGTACACCAACAACGCGATCACGATCAACCCAAACATTTAACCGCGAGTCGGCACCTATCGCATCGAATCTCGAGTGATTTTTTATTAAGCGTTTAGTGTGGTTCAATGTTTTAAATATAAACGTCGTAGATAAGAGAAACAAATTGTGCGACGTGCGATGAGTCTGCGCAATTATCGTTAATTCAGTTTCGAGTCCAAAGGTCGAACGTATGATTCGGATTCAATCGGTCCGGAGATATTTTATTTTCACCTGTTAAAGGCGCTCTAAAAAAATAGTCAAGCTGTGATAGGTGAGATCCTACAACACTACGACTACACTTACAGTTGTGACTATGAAGTAATGATTAGATAATGTACAGTGTGTCCGAAGTCAATAATAATACATGGCCTTTGTTAAAATACAACAGAAAGAACATGTGGCTGAAGTTAGATTTCGACTTGGATAACACGTTTTCCCCTCGCATCGCCCCAAACAATAAATTAATTTAATTACTATTTCGCAATCTCGAAAAAAGCTGACGGATATTCAATTAGACCATTGAAAAACCACTAAGGAGAGTTTCAAAATAATATATTGCACGACCCCCTTGAAATCGTCGGGAAGATATAAAACCACCCTCAATAATGAAATGCCCTATAATTAATTATAATTATTTAGTAATCTCAGAAAAATCTGACGTTGTGTCAATTATGCTATTGAAGAGCGACTTAGGAGAGCTCAAAATGGTGTATTGTTCAGCCCTCTTGAAACCATCGGGAAAATATAAAACTGTCCCCCATAATGAAGTGTCCTAAAATTAATTATAATTATTTCGTAATCTCAAAAAACTCTGACGTTGTCCTAGATATTCAATTATACCATTGAAGAGCCACTTAGGAGAGTTTCAAAACCATGTATCGCTCAACCCCCTTGAAACCGTCTGGAAGATTTATATCATTCCCATATTTTTTAAATTTAATTATTGGGGGTAGTTTTATATCTTCTCGACGATTTCAAGATGGTTGAGAAATACGTCATTTTAAAGCTCTCCTAAGTGGCTCCCAACCTGGAGGGCAAGAAATGTTCAGAAATTATTCTATCAAAATTCTATAAATGATGAGAATATTCGGCATTACAATTAGTTAATTACAATTAAAATTAGTTAACTGTATAAGGTTATTTGTGTTTTAAAATAATTTACAGCATAATAACGTTAAATACGTATTTTGTTTTTAATATGGTCATTTAGATATTGGTCAGTTATTTTCTTTCATTTGAAGAAGGGAACTGGTATTTTGATCTTTTGAATTTTTTTCTATGACGTCTTTTTGAACATATTATGTACGGCCTACTAATACGTAAACAAAAAATGCCCTATATTTCCGCCTTTTTTCATCGCAGATACCAACAAATTTATATGGTTAAAAAGGGTCATTTTTTTAAGAACATATAAAATAAAAAATGTCTCTTTATTTATGAGAAAACGGAGAACTTTAGAAAAAATCTATGTGCGCCACTGGATTTGCCTTAGAAAATGCATTAATTATGTTTTGTTTTTCAAAAGGGCCTAACATTGATATCTCGGTTGGTAGTGAAGATGCTTTTTCTTTAAAATAACTCTTATTAAAATGCTTGATATCTATATGTGTGTTTCTATTAGCTATTAGCACTTTCTTCAAAATTAATTAGGTCCAAGTTAATTAGTTAGCACAACATTAAAAGTAGAAAGAATTCAGTTTATCAATAACCGATGTTTATTTGTTAGTTCGATGTATAGTTCATCAGTGACCTTATTTACTGCTAATTGTTAATATTTACTTTTGAAAATAATTCAATAAAATTAAAAATATAAATACAATTTTCTCTCTTCTCGATTATGCATATGGATATGTTAAGTCAGATCTTTAAACATTTTATTTACAATTGTGAAATGTTTCAAACTTTTCGATCGCGCTCAGCACGTCGTTAGAAAAAACCGACGGGTTTTCGAACGCAGCAAAATGGCCGCCGTCGTGATCCGTCAACTGTACCAAATTGGGGTAAATTTCGCTGAGTATGCCGTCGGGACTGTAAAGGTCGTACCTGTATCTCGCGATTGATGACGGAACTTTGACGGGATTCCTAAAAATCGGGAAGAATTTGTTAGCCATACAAAAAAAACTCGCGATACTCATACATTTTCAAATAAAAACTTGTTAAATTTGCAACCTTCGACTTATTTTTGTTCAATGCATGGAACGTCAGTTGATTAAAGGTTAGCTGAAGCAATATTGCCAATATTATTTCACTGGTTAATGGATTTGATTTGATTATAATTATTACATACCAAAACTCTATTATTTAAAATCGTAACTCATATACAGTGAAAACTCCCTATAACGAAACTCGTATATAACGTAAAACTCTGTATCACGAACAAAATGTGTTGTACTATTAGGTCTCCATACCGAGCTATGTATTAATACCTAATAATCTAATTACCTAGTGTTTTTTTCGTAATAAGCGATTATGTGAATGCCTTTATCGGTATGTATAAAAGCACACCATTGTTTCAATTAGTTCTAATTTGACTTAGTGAATACGGCGAGCATGTAAGCCAACAATTTTATATCTAGATGATAAAGTTGCTTTAATTCGGGAGATACAACGGGGCGAAAAGAAAAGTGATGTGGGACGTCGATACGGACTTACACCATCGACTGTATCCAAGATTTGGAAGTACAAAGCAAAAATCATTCAGGCTGAAGCGGCAGGCAGTTCTAGTACAAACTAAGAAAGCCAAAATTTGAAGATTTTTATCTGGCATTATTGCAGTGGGTCCACCAGTAACGTCTTAAAAATGTACCACTTCCTGGACCTGTCGTACAACTAAAAGCAGAAAGGTTTGCTCAACAGCTTGGCATGATCGATTTCAAGGCTTCGGAAGGATGGTTGGCGAAGTTCAAACAGAGACACGGTATAAATTATGGACAGATAAATGGCGAAGCCCGTGATGTCGACAGAAACGTCACTAACGATTGGCTAGAGAAGACGTGGCCAAAACTACTACCCTGCTGATGACATTTTTAATGCTGACGAAATTGGTATTTTTACAAAACGACGCCAGTGTGGGGTGGAAAACTTTCTAAAGAACGTATAACAGGGTTAGCAGCTGCCAATATGAGTGGGAGAGAAAAAAGAAAACTAGTCGTGATTGTAAAATCAACTACAGCGAGCAAGAAAGCGTGAGGAAGAGCACCAAGAGGAAGAAGAAGATGAAGAAGTTGACTTGGGACCATCAACAGTTAAGTTGCTAGAGAAACCTTTTATGTATCATGGGGAAAATGCCCCTCTAGAAGAAATGGTGAAAATTTAAACCAAAGTACGAGATGCGTATTGGCATACTAAAAAAATTCAAAAGAAAATGATCAATTATTTGAAACATTAAATGTAGTTCTTATATATTTATATAAAATGTTCCAAAGTATGTGTTATGTATTCATTTAACGTGAAATGAAACTGGACCACGACAATGCAACCGTTTACTCACGACTCCGTACAATACGCGGCCCGGCAAGTAACTGCCGTGGATAGCCCTAGGAAAACGTACCGCATCACGGTTTACAAAGAAAACCTAAACTAAACTGCGATATAAAAAACTCGCATATAGAACAGTATGTATATAAAATAATTAAATATTACAGAACACATATGCGCATTTTTATTGTTCAAGTGTCTATAACTCTTTATAACGATATCGTTGTAGAACGATATAACGAAAAAAAAGGCAGTCCCTTCAATTTGGCTATATAGAGTTTCGACTGTACTTTTTTGCTTTAAATATCAATCAGATATGTATTTCGCGCTGATACAGGGGTTTATATATGTACTGATTTTTTTGAAAAGCTTTAATAATTACAAATAAATTAATAGACAAAGTATAATAATAATAATAATAATTAGACGTGCGCGTTGCTTTTCAAAAACTCGCAAAGTACCAGCATCTTCTCTCACTTTCCACTTGACTATCCTATTTGCAACAATTTTTCTTACAAATATTATAATAAACCAAATGTTCCGAAAGTAAAATTGTATGTTCAACATAAATTTCAAAACAAAAAGTGGATAACCCCTGTGATAAAAGAAATGATTTATCAAATGCACTGTTTGTATAAAAGAGAGGTACTTGAGCAAAAAAAAAATCGCATTGTAAGCTGCATGAAATTAGAAAAAGACAGATTTTTCAAAAATATTATTGATAGAAATAAAACAAACTCTAAAGAAATGTCGAAAAATTTAAAAATGCAACTTCAAAATAAAAAAGGTATACATCCCGATGAGTTGCAGTTTAGCCAGCGAATTGTTTCACTTGAGCAAGACATATGACTGGCATTCCGCCAGCGCAGGCTGTGAATGATATCACTAATATACCAACTTATGGAGAAATAAATCACTTTAATACCATAACTACGCAGGACCTAAAAAAAATAATAAGAGAATTAAAAAATGTGACTGGGGATGAGTGTGGTGTCTCAAAGAGTGTATTGATTGATGCCTGTGCAGTTGTTGGAAATCGATTGTTGGACATTGTGAACACCTCCCTTACGAGTGGAATTTTTCCGGAGGCATGGAAAACGTCAATGGTGATCCCTGTACAGAAGGTTCCGAACACCAAGCTATGTCAAGAGTTTAGACCAATTTATACCGTTCCAGTTTATGAGAAGGTTCTTGAGGTTGCGGTGAAACAGCAGCTGCAAAGCTATTGTGACGTAAACAATGTTTTAGTGCCTAACCAGTCGGGATTTCGCTCCAAACATTCATGCGAATCTGTCGTCGTTACTGTCTGTGATGATTTCTTGAGGGCATTGGAGGATGGTAAATTTGTGTAATAAGTAGAACTAGACTGTTAAGAAAATTGTACAAAATGGGTATTAAGGGTACAGCGTATAAATGGCTTTGTTCGTATTTAACAGATAGGGTACAAAAAACGTAATATAAAAATTGCATTTCTGATTGCATAACTGTAGAGCATGGTTTTCCTCAGGGGACAGTTTTGGGACCATTGTTGTTTCTTATGTACATAAACGATATTGTAAATATTTTAGATGATATTATAAAAGCATGTTGAGTGTTCTTAATTTCTTGTCCGTAAAACAAAAAGTAATGTTTAATGTCTATGTATTTATTTTTAAAATTAAACAGCACTGTGTTCCCATTTATGTTTATGAAAAACTTACCTATTTCAGAGACATTCGTTCTTACAATACAAGGAATTGTGATAATTTTATGTTCAGAGAATGTTATTCTAGTCATGTACAAAACTCTACATTACATACTCTTAATGAATTTAAAAGACTTTTAGGACGCCATGTATTGTCAAAATTCTGATTTCTGTGTCTTTGGCTTTTGGTTTCCGTTTATCTGGAATTTTATATTTTATATTTAGAATTTGTATTTTATATTTTTTAGGTAACATAATGCTAAATAAAGATTATAATATTGACTTCGGAACTTTGGTCGTGTCATTCAACATTCAAAACAATTTGTTTAATATACGAATACAAATGGATGCGTTTTTTTTTTCTGAGTTAGTTCGTCTTCTAAATTGTCATTAGGTACGACTACCATCTCCACTTCGTCTTAAAATTCTGCGTTGTTTTCCATGTCCTCTTCTAACGGGGTAACATCTGCTTCATTCCACAGTCTCCACATTTTAAAGTGTTAAAAAACAGGAACCCTCAAGAAATGTTTAATTATAAGAATAGTCTTAAAAAAGAAGAAAAATGTTGTTATTTTTCAAGCACACAAGACAAAAATGATTATTTTCAAACTTACCTGCAAGATAAGTAGAGTACAGGTACTTTGAACTATCCAGTGAAAACAGCCTGGCAGGGTCAAAGCTCGAGGATAAGGACTTAAATATGTACTTATTGCAATTTAGATTAAACTCTTAAGAACGATATATATCAGCTGATATTAAAAAAAAACGCTTCTACTTATTCGAAAATACCCTGTAGCATCAATGATTAATCAAATTTTATTAAAAAGATACCCTGCCACATATTAAAGGGACTAGTGCTAATAAATGTTTCTACTTAATCCTGAACTTCTAACCTTACGTGTAAATCAAAGACTTTTTTATTATTTTTATTATTATCATTTTTTTAGATGTTTTTCAAAAGCACTTAATGATGCTAGCATTATGAATCTCTGCCTTAAATCCTCATATAGGAAACTATAAAACTTAGAACGTATTGCGAGAATGATTTATATTTTGTAGCTCGGTTTTATTTTTTACAATATTTAACGCCGTTGTCTTAAAAAACAACAGCCTTACATTTTGACTCCCTAGACAACTGTACGGGGCGAGTCAGCCTCTGAAATAGAAACTGATATCCGTGCGCGGTTTTTTGGCCAAAAGTTATGAGAAAATCGTGAGTACAAAAGTTTTGGAGATTGTTAGGATGCACAATTTGGAACACTCCATTTTTAAATTTTGTCAAAATAAATAAGAACTAAAAGTTCTGACTTTCACGAAATTGTATATTTTTACAACTCCGCGTCTTTGTCAAATGTAATATTTACAAACTACCTGCTACTATATATACCGAAAAGTGGCAATAAATCCTTAATTGTTGTTGTGAAAATTTAAGTTCAATAAAGGAGAGGTATTTAAATCTAACTGATCGTTAAACAAGAAATTTCAATATCTCATTTTGTCAATTTCCATGGCTTCCAATAAATTTAATTTTCTACTTTTTGTGGCTGTATGTAAAATATCAAAATTGTCGTCGAAACTGTGTTTTTCTCTGTTTAAGTGTGTAGCATAATTAGAATCTAGACTATTGTTTTTAAACGCTCTTTTATGTTTGTTAATGCATTATTATTGTTTCTTTAAAATTATCCTATTGTGTTGTTAGTTCTGAAAGCTAGTTTTAAACCACATTTTGACAAATGTTTTGAAACTTTTTCACTGGGTTCTCCTATGTATGTAATTGTTTTAAATTGTTCGTGTTCTGTATTAGGTTCGGATATAGAGAGTTTAGAGATAATGGACGGATTGTAGCCGATGTTCGGTGCAATTTATTAATACGCCACTCTCAACAGAAAATTACAACAAAGAATTTAATATTATTAAACAAACGGACCGATGTTGAGAGATTTTTGGACAAGTGGTAAATCTGGTTTTGACGCTTAATATCTTTAATGTGGAAATTATTAGAAAGAAGAGCAGAGGTAAGGTGTTTTAATTCTGTTTTCAGTGACTCGGGCTGAGATAGTTTCACGGCTCTGTAAACAAAAGAGTTGATAACCGATGATTTTTGGGCCGGATGGTGATGTGGCCATGCATTAAGGTATCGGTCTGTGTGCGTAGGTTTTCTGTAAACACAATGGCCCAATGTTAGGTCTGATTTTCTATTGATAAGAATATCTAAGAATGGAAGGTTATTATTAGCTTCCAACTTACGTATGTTAGGGTGTATCGAATGAAATTGGGTTTGAAAACATCAAATTAACCTATGGAATCTGTTAAACAGCTGGAAACAGAAGAAGATATAGAGCAATTACTAGAAGGACGTGCAGGTGAAGTAAACAATGAATTTAGAAAAAATTTTGGATGATGGTTTATTATGTAACCAAATTGAAGATAAAGATGGAAGTTTTGACTTAAATACTGTTTTAAACGAGAAGAAAGTTTTAATTGATATTAAAATGTTAGAGTTTCAACTAGAGACATTGATCGTGGGAAAACGGATTCAAAATATTTGATATGCGTTGTTTTGGATAGAGATGACGATAACAATTTATGTAAATTAGAACCTAAACAGGGAGTTTTAAAACAATTTTTTATATCATACGAAGATGTTCCTCACGATGTTGAGAAATCGGTAAGAGAAATTATAGTAATGCAGTCCCTTACTCGTGGACAAAGTTTTAAAAGACGCATCTGGAAAGGAAAATGTTCCTCAAAAAAATGCAATTGTAAAAATATAGTAAAACAATCGTAATTCTTGCTCAAATAAATAAAACTTCTTTCATTACGAAATTTCCTTTACAGTTTTATAAAATTTAACTCTTATAATAAAGAAAAGTATGTTATTATTCTCTATTCGATTCCCATCGTATTGGTCCTGAAAAACTAGGACGAAAATTGTATTTATTAATATTGGTATCATTACCTACGACATATTATATAATATGCAAATGAAAGTATGGTTTGGTTAGTTAATAATTTACATTTTTTAATTAAAATATATCACTTTTGCAACCATTGAAATAATAAGACGACTATGTGGGGCTGAAATTGTTTTTTGCATCTTTGGTATGAAACTACCTCTGAAAGATTTATTTCCACATTTGGGTAAGCTTAGGCTGGGCCCTACGATTTTATGTTTGGTAATTCAATATTCAAATTGCGATTCACTGATCGAAACCGCGGAGAACTAAACTTTTTCTTAGCTCCTAAGGTCAGGTTCACCTTAAAATATTGTAGAACGCCATCTTCGTAAAACTCTCGGCATACAAACGGAATGAGGAAGTAGCCGTACTCGTCAACCAGTAAATCATGATGTTGTCTATCAGCTCGTCGAACGAGAACTTTTCTAGTAAATTTCCTCCGTGGTGTATCCAAGTGAAGTTGGAACCGGTAACGAACTTTTCTAATATGTAGGCGGCCAAACCCACCGGGGAATCGGTCATCGCCACCCCTGAAATTTTTTTTATTTAATTCTTTATATAAATAATGAGCTAAATTAATGAAGTATTAATTCAGTTAAACGAATAGCGAAAGGCCCCGATCCATACGCATTTGAACATTTTAAAAAAATGTGCTTTTTCATTATATGAAAAATTATGAACGTTAATGTTATATGTGAGTTGTAAATTCTTCCGGGTTTTACTCCGCGTCTGGTCTGGCTGGCTCCAAGTGGAGGTAGTCCTCTGCTGACAACGTTTCGGCAAGATCTCACTTGCCATTTTCAAGTCGGGTCGTTCTGCTTCTCGTCTGAACTCGGCTTGAACTGGTGCTCGGCTGGTTTGTCGCTGCTTTATATGCCGACTGGTTTGTGCTGGTTGGTTAGTTAGTAGGGCGTTATCGTTGTCTGGGCGACGAGGTGGAACGGGAGTGGGGGCTGTTCTCTTTATTGTTTTTGGTTTTATAACCGGTTTCCAAGCTGTTGGTAATCGTTGTGTATCGTCTCTTGTGTTTAGATTATTTTGGTGTTTTTCTATTTCGATAGCTTCCCTGACTATTCTTTTATATTTGTGTTCTTCTCTAGCAATTGTCCTCGTGTTGTCAAAGTCTATTCAATTCAATTCAATGATGCGTTTCACAGATAGCTGTTGGGCACGACTACCAGGATCATTCGCCCATTGCCGACTTCCGTCGAGGATTCTCGGATCTTCTCCAGGAAGGAGACAGAATTTTGAAATTTTAAATGTCGAGGATTTTCGTATCTTCTCTGGCGAAGAAGACTGATTTTTGAAGTTCCAAATGTCGAGGATTGTCAGATCTTCTCCAGCGAAGGAGACTAAACTTTAAAGTTCCAAATGTCGAGGATTTTCGGATCTTCTCCAGCGAAGGAGACTAATCTCAGAAGTTCTAAATGTCGAGAGTTTTCGGATCTTCTCCAGCGAAGGAGTTCTTCTTTTGAAATTCTAACTAATATACATGATGATTAAAACCAACCCATAGACCATGAGCTAGCAAATCCAAAAGCGGTTATAAGCAGATACCACATGCATCAAGGAATCTAACCACAAGTCGTGCAACAGAATCCATACATCCAGGGTGAAAAAGTGCAGAAAAGGCACTAATAGGAGCGGGTAAGCTGGCATCAATGAGGGACTCATACAAAATTTGGGAGTTATTCCGATGCAGAGCACAATCAAACAAAATATGTTCAATATCTCCCACCCCTCCACAAGCACACAGGTTAGATATTTTGACGTTTATCTTGTAAAGATGTGCTGGGGAACTACAATGATTACTCCTCATTCTGCACACTGTTGTAATCTCCTTTCTAGACAGCTGCAGTTTATGGAACCATGGAACTGTTGGAGGTGTCTTATAAACTGCACTATAAAGTCTGCCCTTTGAACGGCCCCACTCTCTCCACTTGATGGCCCAGATGTGCCACATCTTTGCTCTAATTATCGGGATAAATTCACTAAAAGGGGGCCTTAAATTCAGCGGGTCTAAAAGTCTAGCTTCTGAGGCTATTCGTGTGTCCAATATTCCTTACATGTTGGACTATTGAAGAAGTTCTTTCGTCTTTGGTCACAGCGTTGCGGTGTTCCTCTCTTCGTACCTGTATCCTTCTGTTTGTCTGGCCAATGTAGCTCTTGTCACAGTCCTTGCAGGGTATTTCATACAATCCTTGGTCCTCCAGTGGAATTTTTGTTTTTGCTGATGGAATTACATTGGCAATTTTCTTGTCTGAATTGAAGATAGTTGCTATTTTGTTTTTCTTAAGCACTCTGCTCATTTTGTCTGTTGTTCCTTTGACATAAGGCAGGGGAGCTTTGGCTATAGGTTTGTCCTCTTCTTCTTTTTCTTGGGTTTTAGTGAGTCGTCGTCTTAGAGCTTTCTTTATAATATATATTTCAGTTGGTGCCAAACATGTTCAATGGGATTAAATATACAGTGGCAAGGTGGAAGGAAGCCTTAAAACTGTATGCCCTAGATTTTTGGGATAATTATCACAGACGTATTCATTTTGTAGGTTCAAGCTTTGTAGAACCTCAATTAATTGCTTTTTGATATAACCTTCGTAAAAATGAATGTCGTTGTTATACATGTAGTTTTGGATTGTTGCTTTTGTGTCACCCGAGGAAAGGGTTTTAGTCAATTGTCTACTGTGATAACTTGCATTGTCCATTACAATGACGCTATTAGGAGGAATGTTTGAAATTAGTTTGTTTTTAAACCAACTTTCAAATAAATCAGCGGTGGCGTCTTCATGGTAATCCCACAGAAGAATCTTTAATATTTTTCGCAGACAGAGAAAGTCCATTTGGAATCCAACCATATTTAGAGTCAGCATGCAAAATAGTTATTCGTTTGCCTCTTTTTGATGGCGCGTTTGTTTTTGACTTATCAGTTGAGTCAACCCAACTCTTTTCCGGAGTATCATAAGTGTAGAACCAGGTTTCATCCAAGTAAATAATTGGCCTTTGTTGTTCTCCGTAAATCATAATTTTTTCTAGATATTCCAGTGGCCATTTCCGAATTCTAAAAGATTCCATTAAAACTTGCTTTTTGTCAATTTTTTTAAATCTAAAACCCATGTGTTAAATACACTTCCATAAGGTAGTTCTGCCACACTTAACACCGGTTTCATCTTTTTCAAGCCACCTAATTAATATATCTAATGAAGGCACGCTTTGTTCCTCGTATAACTGGTAAAGTTTACGCCGTATTATGTCTTGATCACTTTCATCTACACTCAAGAAAATGTCAACATCGCTTCATTTTTTCCTCGCTGAAATGGGATTATTCACAATTTTCCATACAATTGATGTTGGAATTTCCGTCAATGTGCTTGCTTGCTGGTCCCATGTTCAATGAGAGTCAAATAAACATTGTTTATAAATTCCTTAGTCTCAGTAGAATAGTGTTTTCTACATTTGGGCGAGAGCATCTCCTGAGATACACTAGACTCGCACATATTTTGCATAATTCGCACATGATTCAACACACGCTGTATTACACACTAAAAAAAGAATAATTAGTAATAAACTTAAACCAAGTAGTATACCAAACCAAAGAATATGAAACAAAGGTACGGCCCACAATTTTACCTGAATTTAAATTCCGAAACTTTAGGTAATAATCTTGTTGCATTGTATGTTAATGACCTCCCTTGGATAATCCCATTCAAAAGCAATTGGTCACTTTCTTATATCTATGAACAGACATTACCTAGACTTTCTTGAAGAAGTCATTCCCGAATTACGCGAAGATATTCCCTTCGTATATTATAATGGTATATACCTTGAGGTGCCACAAATCATAGCAAAGCAATTACTTACTTTCTTATATCTATGAACAGATCATATATTTCTTTCTTTCTGATATATTTCTTGAGTGTCGACCATTTGTGGCAGTGTTTGCTAATCGTTTTTCTGTATGTGTCGAAAAAGTTATTTTACGAGAACATGATGGAGAACAGTGAAAAACGTGTATGAAACTTTAATCAGCAGATGGCTTATTAAACTAGAAGCTTTAAAAGAAACCTATCTATTTCCAAAACGAGAATATCGTCGAAATTGATATTATTAATAGTGAAGAATTGAAGAAATGGACTAAACCTAGTGTTTTTTAAAGTCACCGTATGGACAATAATGATCAGGACCCAATAAGAAGGAAACTAAGGTGTAAGTGAGCGGTGCTTACAATAGTTTTTCAATTTTGAATGGCGATTGTACTCAGTAAATTGGCATGAGTGTAAATTCCAAGTGTGGAAATAAATGCTGTTGCCCTGATCCACTTCAAAGTAGTAGCAGCTCTAATTTTAGCTCTGATGATGAAGATGTTTCATAGCAAATACAAACTAAATATGTATGTGTATATATATGTATATTTACTCTTGGCAAATTTGGTACTGTTTTAATTTGTCTTGCATGGACAGAATTTTCGGACAACAGCATATTTAACAATTTTTTATGTAGATTCGCCTACTTAAATATTCGCATATCATTAAGGGAAGCCCTGATCTATTATCACATGGAATATACATAGATACACCTCTGAGTACGGGCGTACTAGTTCAATTAATAAATACCAAGTATAACTGATTCTGCCTTTCTTACTCTGAAGATAATCCTGATCCTTAGTGACGAACAGATAAACATTTAGAATGGAACAACATGACGAACAATGTATTTAGTTCTGTCTGGCACTCCCGAATATATATTTTTCTATAATCGCAAGTACTTTGCCACTGTAAGATTTTTATGTTTTGCAGTCTGCTATGAAGTATGAAAACTTTTTGCTTTTTTTTTGTTTTTTTTTTTGCTTTTTACAAAACGTCTGGAGTCGAACTCGCTGACGTTTCGCCAATCATCCTGTTGGCTTCTTCAGAGCTTGACTGAAACTGACTCGCATTTTACTCTGTACCTGCTTATATTTGTTTGCTTGGGACGGAGCTAATGAGGGGCGTAAACACAGTCTTCAACCTGAGTCGCGGTTAAGATTGTTAGGTTGTTTATAGATTATTATTATTAGATTGATTAGATGTAAGAATTTTAGTTTTATCGAATAAAATTTTATGGCTGGTTTCATGATTGTGTTCGGCAACAGCTGACGAGTTTATTCGTCTTAGTCATAAGGCTCTATATATATATATATATATATATATATATATATATATATATATATATATATATATATATATATATATATATATATATATATATATATATATATATATATATATATATATATATATATATATATAGAGCCTTATGACTAAGACGAATAAACTCGTCAGCTGTTGCCGAACACAATCATGAAACCAGCCATAAAATTTTATTCGATAAAACTAAAATTCTTACATCTAATCAATCTAATAATAATAATCTATAAACAACCTAACAATCTTAACCGCGACTCAGGTTGAAGACTGTGTTTACGCCCCTCATTAGCTCCGTCCCAAGCAAACAAATATAAGCAGGTACAGAGTAAAATGCGAGTCAGTTTCAGTCAAGCTCTGAAGAAGCCAACAGGATGATTGGCGAAACGTCAGCGAGTTCGACTCCAGACGTTTTGTAAAAAGCAAAAAAAAAAACAAAAAAAAAGCAAAAAGTTTTCATACTTCATAGCAGACTGCAAAACATAAAAATCTTACAGTGGCAAAGTACTTGCGATTATAGAAAAATATATATTCGGGAGTGCCAGACAGAACTAAATACATTGTTCGTCATGTTGTTCCATTCTAAATGTTTATCTGTTCGTCACTAAGGATCAGGATTATCTTCAGAGTAAGAAAGGCAGAATCAGTTATACTTGGTATTTATTAATTGAACTAGTACGCCCGTACTCAGAGGTGTATCTATGTATATTCCATGTGATAATAGATCAGGGCTTCCCTTAATGATATGCGAATATTTAAGTAGGCGAATCTACATAAAAAATTGTTAAATATGCTGTTGTCCGAAAATTCTGTCCATGCAAGACAAATTAAAACAGTACCAAATTTGCCAAGAGTAAATATACATATATATACACATACATATTTAGTTTGTATTTGCTATGAAACATCTTCATCATCAGAGCTAAAATTAGAGCTGCTACTACTTTGAAGTGGATCAGGGCAACAGCATTTATTTCCACACTTGGAATTTACACTCATGCCAATTTACTGAGTACAATCGCCATTCAAAATTGAAAAACTATTGTAAGCACCGCTCACTTACACCTTAGTTTCCTTCTTATTGGGTCCTGATCATTATTGTCCATACGGTGACTTTAAAAAACACTAGGTTTAGTCCTTTTCTTCAATTCTTCACTATTAATAATATCAATTTCGACGATATTCTCGTTTTGGAAATAGATAGGTTTCTTTTAAAGCTTCTAGTTTAATAAGCCATCTGCTGATTAAAGTTTCATACACGTTTTTCACTGTTCTCCATCATGTTCTCGTAAAATAACTTTTTCGACACATACAGAAAAACGATTAGCAAACACTGCCACAAATGGTCGACACTCAAGAAATATATCAGAAAGAAAGAAATATATGATCTGTTCATAGATATAAGAAAGTAAGTAATTGCTTTGCTATGATTTGTGGCACCTCAAGGTATATACCATTATAATATACGAAGGGAATATCTTCGCGTAATTCGGGAATGACTTCTTCAAGAAAGTCTAGGTAATGTCTGTTCATAGATATAAGAAAGTGACCAATTGCTTTTGAATGGGATTATCCAAGGGAGGTCATTAACATACAATGCAACAAGATTATTACCTAAAGTTTCGGAATTTAAATTCAGGTAAAATTGTGGGCCGTACCTTTGTTTCATATTCTTTGGTTTGGTATACTACTTGGTTTAAGTTTATTACTAATTATTCTTTTTTTAGTGTGTAATACAGCGTGTGTTGAATCATGTGCGAATTATGCAAAATATGTGCGAGTCTAGTGTATCTCAGGAGATGCTCTCGCCCAAATGTAGAAAACACTATTCTACTGAGACTAAGGAATTTATAAACAATGTTTATTTGACTCTCATTGAACATGGGACCAGCAAGCAAGCACATTGACGGAAATTCCAACATCAATTGTATGGAAAATTGTGAATAATCCCATTTCAGCGAGGAAAAAATGAAGCGATGTTGACATTTTCTTGAGTGTAGATGAAAGTGATCAAGACATAATACGGCGTAAACTTTACCAGTTATACGAGGAACAAAGCGTGCCTTCATTAGATATATTAATTAGGTGGCTTGAAAAAGATGAAACCGGTGTTAAGTGTGGCAGAACTACCTTATGGAAGTGTATTTAACACATGGGTTTTAGATTTAAAAAAATTGACAAAAAGCAAGTTTTAATGGAATCTTTTAGAATTCGGAAATGGCCACTGGAATATCTAGAAAAAATTATGATTTACGGAGAACAACAAAGGCCAATTATTTACTTGGATGAAACCTGGTTCTACACTTATGATACTCCGGAAAAGAGTTGGGTTGACTCAACTGATAAGTCAAAAACAAACGCGCCATCAAAAAGAGGCAAACGAATAACTATTTTGCATGCTGACTCTAAAGATGGTTGGATTCCAAATGGACTTTCTCTGTCTGCGAAAAATATTAAAGATTCTTCTGTGGGATTACCATGAAGACGCCACCGCTGATTTATTTGAAAGTTGGTTTAAAAACAAACTAATTTCAAACATTCCTCCTAATAGCGTCATTGTAATGGACAATGCAAGTTATCACAGTAGACAATTGACTAAAACCCTTTCCTCGGGTGACACAAAAGCAACAATCCAAAACTACATGTATAACAACGACATTCATTTTTACGAAGGTTATATCAAAAAGCAATTAATTGAGGTTCTACAAAGCTTGAACCTACAAAATGAATACGTCTGTGATAATTATCCCAAAAATCTAGGGCATACAGTTTTAAGGCTTCCTTCCACCTTGCCACTGTATATTTAATCCCATTGAACATGTTTGGCACCAACTGAAATGTGAAATTCGTCGTAACAATGTTTTCCCCGTGTTAACTCCATTGTCCTCAAACTTATAGGAACCCAAGTTTTTAACATCTCCCCACAAAGTTGGGCAAATTCTGTTAAATATATAGAAATATATAGAAAAAGCAGAACAATCGAATATCCATATTGCAAATAATATAGAACAAATAATAATTAGAACAGGCGATGATAGCGATAGTGATACTAATATATTATGTGAATAATTTTAAGTAATTTAAGTGGATAATAAAAATAATTTGTAATTTTTTTTTAGATTTAAACATAAATACATACATAAATTAATAAATATTGTTTAGTATATTTCCTAAACAAAACCCCAAATAATTAAATTTTAAGCAAAGTGCGGACCTGTTCGGCCATATTTCATTCTTACAGCTTGCCCGGGTCTTTCCGTAATTCGTATCAGTTAGTCACTTTCTTATACTTATACTTTCTTAATAATTAACAAAACAAAAAGGAAAATACTTTTACGGTTTCACCTAAACTATCCGGTTTGGTAGCTTGTAGGTGAAGATAAGCAGATTCTTGGAGAATGAAAAGAGCCTTGTCGATAAGAGGATACACTCGATCGTAATGATGCTCCTTGACCACCCACGAAGGATTGATCGCGCTCAGAAACGGATAAAGGTGCCCTTTGACCGTGTAAATCAGTACCATGTTGCTGTGAAATCCTAATACACTGTCCGGATACAGCACCGATAACGTCTGCAGAATAATTCCTCCCATATCACCACCTAAAAAAAAGACGTCCACTGAAGTGTGTCTCAAAGTATGTTGTCCTAGCTTTTGACGGAATCTTCCCCCCTCCTCCTTCCTACCTATTGTTACCAGGTAAACCAATCACCAATAATTTATTCATAGTTAAGGGAAAGACAATGGCTAGTCAGATGTTTTTAGAGACATCAAGATAAACAAAAAAGGAAAATATAAGGTTAGTAGCAAAGTTTTTTTCCAAGTGACGTATAAAAGAAAACACCCTGTATATTATAAATGTGTTTAATAGAATATCTTATTCCGATTACATTGATGTAACACACTTTATATTTTAGCCCATTCGTTTTGCCCTGGCTGACAAATAAAAATATATTTATGTTTGATATATTAGTAAACAACGTTGACTGAATATTGCGCATTATTGTTAAAATGGTTTTTCGCGAATTTAGCATCCGTGGAAGAAGTGCTGCGCTTCAAGTAAATCATAAAAGTTAGTATATTAGACGAATTAAATGCTAAAAAGGTATGCCGGAATCATAATGTTTTAGATGCAGTAAATAAGGCACACTTATTAGGATTCTACGAAGCAAGTGATCAAGAATCTGAAATCGGACCACCGCCAAGTCACACCACTACCTCTTATACATTTAAAAACACGGAAACAACATTACCAACGGGACTTAACAGAACATCGGGACAAATATCTTTCAAGATCTCCAACAGTGTGCAGTGTACATACATCACAATACAGTCAGATTTGGTAACAGCTGCTCTTAAAACTATGAAGAATAATAGAGCCAGCGGCCCAGAAGGTATACCTGCAGAATTGTTGAAATATGCTTCGAATAATCTCATAGGTTTGCTAACGAAAAATACATTAATGGCGAAACAGTACCAGAAGAATGAAAGAGGGCATGATACTGATACATAAAAAAGGCAGGAAAGATCTATACGAAAACTATAGGTGCATATCCGTAACAAGCTCCATTAGTCGATTGTATGGAAAAGTCCTTCGAAATATTATAGAAAATGAATACGAACCATCTGAAATTGAACAGCAGGCAGAACATGCATTGATAATATTTTTAGTTTAAATCAGTTTAACTGAAAAGAAAACTACCACAAATAGAGAAACTCATCTACTATTTGTAGATCTGACCAAAGCATACGATAAGGTACCTATAAACAAACTCTGGGAAGTACTGATGAAATCATCCATTGACACAACAATAATAGAAGCCATAAAGGAAAGAGAGTACCTCAAAAGTTAAAATAGGCAAAGAAATGTCAGAAGGTTTTGCCGTTACGAAGGGCCTGCGACAAGGATGTTCTCTGTCCCCGACACTGTTCAAAATATATCTCAATGAAGATTTGAGATATTGGAGAAGGAGCTGCCAGGGCATGGGAATAGAGATAGATGACGCAACCACCCTATACACACTACATTTTGCAGACGACCAGGTGATTATAGCCCAGGACAAGGAAGATCTACAATATATGGCAAGAAAGCTTATTGAACAATATGAAAAATGGGGACTGTCAGTGAATTTAAAGAAGACAAAATATCTTAACATCGGTGGAGTACAACAGGAACTAGACCTAGAACACGGCAAAAAATCGAAGCATGCGAAAAATATGTATACTTGGGAACAATGATGGATCATAGCGGACTGACTGAGAGAGAGATAGAAAATAGGCTTATAAAAGGAAAACAAATTATTGGAGCTTTAAACTCTGTTTTATGGTCGGAAAACACAAGTAAAGATAGGAAACACCGATTATATAATGCCGTCTTTAAAAGTGTCCTATTATACGGATGTGAAACATGGCAACTAAATTAAACAACAGAAAAAAAATTAAATACCATCGAAATGGACTTTTGGAGAAGATCAGCTGGAATATCTAGACGCGATAGAATCAGCAACGAAAGATGGTTTGGCCATGTCCAAAGGATGGATGACCGAAGAATACCTAAGAAAATGATGAGTCGGAGGCCTCGAGAAAATAGAAAACGGGGAAGACCTAAAATAACGTGGGAAAAAGGTATAGAACGAGCCATGTCAGAACGAAATTTGGGACCAAGTGACTGGAATGACCGCCGAGAATGGAAATTGGGAACCGGAAGGCGCAGGAAGCTATAACCCCGAATATATATATATATATATATATATATATATATATATATATATATATATATATATATATATATATATATATATATATATATATATATATATATATATATATATATATATATATATATATATATATATATATATATATATATATATATATATATATATTCTCACGTATTGATTCACGGATGGAAAAATGTGATAACACTATATTCCGGGATATCATCCGTTCGCTCGTTGAACTCCGACTGGAATCCTGCATCCGACTGGAATCTTGCAGACGTTTCGCCAAAATCTCACTTGGCATCTTCAATGCTCGCGCTCCGAAAACACTGTTTGTTGTTTGTTGCAGTGTTCGAAGTGTTTTCGGAGCGCGAGCATTGAAGATGCCAAGTGAGATTTTGGCGAAACGTCTGCAGGATTCCAGTCGGATGCAGGATTTGCAGGATTCCAGTCGGATGCAGGATTCCAGTCGGAGTTCAACGAGCGAACGGATGATATCCCGGAATATATATATATATATATATATATATATATATATATATATATATATATATATATATATATATATATATATATATATATATATATATATATATATATATATATATATATATATATATATATATATATATATATATATATATATATATATATATATATATATATATATATATATATATATATATATATATATATTGGTGGTAATCCGGGTGTTCATCCGTTCGTTGTTTGACCCTGGAGTAGGATCATTCGCCTGACGTTTCGCCAAAATATCACTTGGCATCTTCAGAGGCCGCGCGTCCATGTCACTCGTACGTACTGTTTAGTGAGTGATTATCCAAATAAAATGCTACTCCAAATACTCAAAGCCCATCAAAACTCGAGTCAGTTTCAGAGCCAGCAAGAGTTTTCGCATTGCAGTTGCGGACAGGTTTGGCGGATTAGGCAATCCTATTAGGTTTACGATTCTTGGCGAAAACCTAACTGAGTAGACCTAACCTCAAAATGTCAAACTTCTCTATAAAAAGGTTAGTCGCCAGAAGGCAGGAATAATTTAAGAAAATCCTGAAATATAAAAGGCAGTCCTCGTATCTTTGTAAACTACCAATAAAGATGTCTTTTGTTGCTTACAATAATTTATTATTCAAACAAACAGTAAAGGCTGATTAACGCAAGAGTTTACCCTTCTTGTAGTAACGAAGGGTCTCGCGTACTCTTACCCATTTGGCCAAAACAGTTGACGAAACAACCAAAATGAACCATTCGATATCCACTGAACTCTTAAAAATACTCGTGGTAATTTTTGTTACTCAAAATGTTTGCATAAACCTGCCTTTAGATCCCATATTGTGTCAGTTTTTTACGATACTAGCTGTAGTGTTGATGTCATTTACAAGCCAACTGTAAATGACATTAAAAAAGTGGGCGACAATTATTGTTTTGTGGTTGACGAAACAACCGACCCATGATGGAAAATATTGCACACTCTTAGAGGAAACCAAACCATGAATATGGTAGAACAATTAAGAATTCAAGTGTAACAAGAAATATTAGCATCGCTCAAGATCTGTTAAACGACATCAATCATGATCCTGATGTGCTCAGAAAGTCATAACTGGTGACGAATCATGGTATATGGGTATGACGACGAAACCAAAGCCCAGTCGTGTCACTGGAAGAACCCAGAATCGCCAAGACTGAAAAAAGCACGTCTAGTTCGATCAAATTTGAAGGTTTTGCTTACTGTTTTCTTTGGTTACCGTGGTATAGTACATCAAGAGTTCATCAGGAGAATTACCTTCAACTTATGCGCCGTTTGCGATGCAAAGAAAAAGTCCGGAATCGTGGGATAATGCACCTGATCACTCATCGCTATCTGTGTCTGACTTTTTGGCCAAAAACAAAACCGCAATTTTGCCCCCATGCGAGTTTTTCCTTTCCCCAAAACTCAAGTAACCTATGAAAGGACGGAGGAAGGTTCTACTAGAAAGTTCTTACCATAAGTGGAGGGGGCGGACAACATTAATTTTGATAAATAAATAAATACTTATAAGTCACCTTACTTTTTGAAGACGCAACACAGGTAATCATTGATCATTGTATATGCTCTTTGGAAAGAATAGGGACCATCTGATGTCTGAACTTAACATAAAAGTGAGTGGTAGAGTTTTGCAGTTTACAAATTGTGCAAAAAATGTTGGCCTAAGAATTAACAAAGATTTTCGTTTTATAGAGTAAGTTGGCTATTATTTACAAAAGGGATACGTCTTCTTAAAGTTGCTTGCCAGTCTTACACAGATGCTAAGTGGTTGAATATGCAGAATAGGCGTAAACTACACTCCTTGGTATTTTTTCATAACATTATTTTTAATAACAGTCCTCCTTACTTGACAAATAATATAACATATCGGACAGATATTTACAGATTGAACCTTAGATTTAGGGGTCTTATCTCTCCACCACCACACAGGACTTCTCTTTTTCAAAGAGGCTTCTCCTATAAGGTTTACAAATTTTACAATACTGTTCGTCTTTCTTTAAAAGCATATCACCAGTAAACTTAAAAAAAAAAGACAAGAAACGTTCAGCCAACAAGAAATTGCAAGTGATTTTCGAGTAAGTTCAGTCCTAAAATTTTCTATCCAATTTTTAATTTTTATATAAGCATACACATTTTCTTTTTTTGGTATAGCTATCTCATGCGAAGTAATAATTTTAAAATAGTTTTATTTTATAGGAGTTGAACTTGGAACAATTTTAATTGGTTTCATCTCCTTTTTTGCAATTTATGTGGTAAATTGAACATTGCAGAATAAAGGTATTATTATTATTATTATTATTATTATTATTATTATTATTATTATTATATATTTGGTATCATCACCTATTGGTATTAATGATGATACTCATGATCTGTGAGACATTTCTCACTGGTCAGTTGTTTTATTAACATCGTCAGGATATCCCTATAATTTCCGTCAAAAGCCAAGAAGAGATACAAAGTATACCTGCGTAGCTCAATTTGTCTTAATTACTAACCTTGACAGTAAAACTTTTTGTGGCCTAACCTGTGCATCAATTTCCTCAATATAACCGCCACCTGCGGCACACCTAGTCCAGGTTTCGACGCTGCTTGGGAGAAGCCATATCCAGGTATATGCGGAGCCACCACTTCCAGCACAAAACTCCTGTTAGTGGCTTCGGTCAGCAGAGGGAATGCCTCGTAAAATTCCCTGACGGATCCAGGCCAGCCGTGTAACAGAAGCAACGGCAACACCGTTTTGTTTCCAGCGTTGTCGCGTTTCACGTGGATAAAGTGAACGTCCAGTCCATGGATTTTGGTTTTGTATTGCGGATATCTGTTTAGGAATGCCTCCCGTTCCGTCCAGTTGTATTTGGTGCGCCAGTATCTTACGAGTTCGTTTACTAGGTTCGTGTTGATGCCGTATTGGTGATGGACATTTTCGAGTGGGGGCGTTAAAGGTCTGTGGTTTTCCAAGCGCCATTGCAGGTCGATTATGTCCTAAAAGGGCAGAGGAAAGAAAATAACTCATGTTAATTTCGTAGAGAAAATCGTTCTGAGGCATTAATTATCGGTTAAAACACTCTGATAGATGCTTTTGCAAATGCTTAAGGATTACTGAGTCTGGTAAGAAATGGCTAGATTATAGCCTAATGTCACTTAATTTAGGCAAAACCAAATTCTTAACTAAATGCATGACGAAAGTTGGCCCAAAGAATAAAAATTCAATGTGTTCAGTGATGTTTTGAATGTAAGGAAAGGACAACAGTGGCAAGTCGAGTTGCTTTCGGAAGATTGTGGTGAAGTGTATTCTGTGCTGCAACACTTAATATAACTAATAAATAAATTATTAGAGAGAAGAGCAGATGTAAGGTGTTTTAATTTTGGGTTCAGTGACTCGGTTGAGATAGTTGATTTGTGAGCCCGATGGTGATGTGATGATGAATTATGCAGAATATACCAATGTTAAGTCTGATTGTTTTTAGCTAGTTTAAATGGCTAACAAAATCTCGGAGGAATTTCTGACCATGAGACCAAATAACAATAGCGTCATCAACGTTTTGGTTGGGGGACACGGAAAGAGCCTCCCCGAAGAATGCACAATTAGTTCATTCGGGCGTCCCCTGGACAACGGTGCATTAGAACCGGCTGATCTTTTCACAAACTGAGCTACCCTGCTTGCGATCAGATCGAATAGATCAGAATCGAAAAAAGGGCCCTCTTCAGAGCCAAGTCTGATATATGATATATGAACAACAAACGTTTGGTTTTAGATGGAAAAGCTTCCTTCTCAAAGGTTTTAATATAGCAGCTGGAGAGTATGGTATAGAATCAATGGTGCTGAAAATAGCTCGAACGAGTAATCCTGGTTTGTGAACCTTAGAATTTATCAAAATCCGTGAGAAAGTCTGCTGCCCCTCATAAAATTTCTGGTCCCTACGGACTCATTAAGATTTGGAACCCGGAATTACCCGTCCGACCAATTGTTATCACCATTATCTTTCCAACATACTCTCTAGCGAAATATCTAGCTTCTAGATTAAAACCCTTTACAGGGAAAACTGATCGTTTGGTACTTAAGTCCTTTAATTTTATTGATCAATTGAAAAATATTTCATTATGTCCACAGGATATTGTGCTTAGTTTCAAGCTTTAATATCCCCATTTTTGAAGGAAGCAAATCTCATCATAATTGAAAAATGCTTGTCTGGAACAAATTTTTCTCATAACGCGAATATATTTATGGAAACCTTTGAGATGAAAGTCACCGGCACCTCCCTCCCAGATTTTTTTTGCCATTTTAGCTCTATACACCCTAAGCGTATGTTAAATTAGAAATCAGTAATAATCTCTCATTATAGATACTCTTATCAACAAAAAATCAGGTCATTCTGTTTACAGAAAACCTACGCGCATAGGCAGTTTCAACTCTTTTATCTACAGAGCCGTAAAACTAACCAGAATTGTAGCAACTCAGGCCATGCCAGTAATATTCCATTACTCCATAGTTTTATGTCTAAAAATATTATCGCTTTTGCAATGTTGCCAGTTCTACGGGATATCCAGCGACAGAAGACGTCGAAAAAGTGCACTTCTGGAAGAAATGTTGTAATATTAATAAGTTGTTTTTTTAAATGCATGGTTTATTCATTATTTAGTATCTCATACCATTTTTTATGAAATAAGGGATATTCTCTCTCTTTCTCTTATTCTAACCCGCCTTGCAGAAACGTATGGTCAGGTGGAAAGGTGAAATAACTGAATTTGAAAAAAACTTCTTTAGAAGCCACCCCCACAACATAAAGAAACAAATACAAAATAAAGTACTGATGATAGGACAAACAGTTTATATTTATAAAAATATTTATAAAAGCTATTAAATGTGTCTATTTCAAAAAACTTCTTTAGAAGCCACCCACAAAATAAAGAAACAAATACCAAATAAAGTACTATTGAGAGGACATACATTATGAATATTGTTTGAGTTTTCACTACTGCTGCCTGCTCAACCATCCCGTTCTTGAAAAATCAAAGAATATAAACTTAGTAAAGCGACAGTTCGAAAAACATATTTTTTCAGCTAAGGTATGTTTCAATGATCACATCGTTTTCTGAACATTTTATTTAAATGCAATAGGTTTATAAAATATTTTTCTAAAGCAAATGTAATATAACATTTTTATTCATTTGCCTTATTTTAGCTGGGTTAAGCATAAGCACAAGACTATATTTCAATATTAGTATAAAATAAATCATCCAAATGACCGAAGTACGCTTGAAATTTGGGAGGCTATTATGACGTTTGTTAATTAGTACTATATCTATTGTTCGGCCGAAACAATTAAATAATAATAGGAATCAAGGCGGTTCTCATTTCACGTTGTTGTTCATGTTAGGAGGTACCTTTCAATGTCACTTAATGGTGTAACAACTAGGTGGCCATTATTTTCAAAGCATCAGGGTTTCATGCACATATATATTTTTTTTAATTTCATGGACTTTTTTTACAAGACAGTCTTGTGGTTAACATTGTGTATACGTTGTGTGTGATAGACGCAGTTAAACATTAAACTTGTTCGTCCAAATAGATTATTCAAAGTCACATTTCCAATAAATATTTTCCAAATTGGATCAGCAACCCTGACGTAATTAAAAAAATACCTACCCATTGACATTAAAACATAAAAATGATTTATGACAAAGAAAGAGTATAAAGTAGAGTGTAGCGAGTTTTATTCCCAGGATGCCAGGCAAACATAAGTTGTTTTTATATATATTTGCGACAAATTAATTTTTTTGGGGTTTTGAAAAATATGACCCACAGTTAAACCATCAAATGTCTAGTATCTGTTTTTCGGATAAAAATACAGTCTATATAGCGAAATTGAAGAGACTGCTTTTTTTTCGCTATAAACAGTTACAGGCACTTGAAATATAACAATACGCATGTGTGTTTTTTAATATTTAATTAATTTGTATACCAATTTAACTGAATATAGGGCTTGTTGAATGGTTGGTAGTGGTCCCAGATCAACTTCTTCCTCTTGGTGCACTTCCTCACCCTTTCTTGCTTGTTGTAATATGGCTTCCTCTGCCAATTCTGCTGTTGTAGGCAAATCCTGGTCTATCACCATAAAATCTTGCAACTCCTCACTTGTAAACGTAATTGTTGTTTGAAACTGTTTTATCCTCTAGCTTAGTGGCTGATCATCTTCCAAGTCCTGTTTGCATTCTGTCTTGGTAATAAGAGTTTTGAATTGTTTCTGCTGTCACCTCTTTGCAAGCTTTACTAATATAGTTGACTGCATCTAGCATATTAATGGAAAATTTGTCTTCCGACTCGGTCATTTCCATTAAAATGTTTTTCCTGTATCGACTCTTAAGACCTTGTATTACATCAGCGGAAGGACACCTGTTGTTTTGGCTGGAATAAATGCCAATTCAATATACCGTAGATTTTGAATATGGGGATATGCAGGTCAGTTATCTAAGAGAAGTAATATTTTCCTCATCCTTAATTCTGCATCCCATTTTGGTATCTTCTCTTCAAAAATTTACGATGTCGTCCATGCAGACTTGTTTGCCTTGTAAGTAACCAAAAAATACTTGATGTTCCTAAAACATCGTTGGTTGATTTTAAAATCACGACTAGCTTTCTTTTTTCTCTCCCACTCATATTTTCAGCTACTAACACTGTTGTGCGTTCTTTGGAAAGTTTTACACCCACACACTTTTCGCTTCGAAATTTAAGAGTTTTATCTGGCGTTATTTTGTAAAAAGTACCACTTTCCTCAGCATTAAAAATGTCATCAGCAGGGTACTTTGCTGCTAGTTATGGCCACGTCTGCTCCAGCCAATCGTTAGTGAAGTTTCTGTCGACATCACGGGCTTCGCCACTTATCAGTCCATAATTTATACCATGTCTCTTTTTGATACTTCCCAACCATCCTTCCGAAACCTTGAAATCGATAATGCCAAGCTGTTCAGCAAACTTTTCTGCTTTTAGTTTTACTCTCAGTAGTAATTCTAGTAAGCATGGTGTATGACTTAACGAAAATAAGACGCAACTTATAACTTTTGGTAAAGATAAAGGAAAAATAATTAGACGCTGCCAAAATTTAATTAAATGACCTTCTCTTACGACCGGTTGCCGAATGCAAAAATCTGGGTCTGCATTTGGATAATAATCTGCGTTTTGAAGGTCACGTAGCTTCATTGATCCAGAAATCGTTTTACAAGCTTCGGATTCTCTATTGTAATAAAGATATTCTGGACACATCAATTAAGTTAAAACATACCGACTCCTTAATTCTCTCCTCTATTTCATACTGTATGGTAGTTTACTGGCCTGCCCTACTTCAAAAGGACAAGGTTAGTCTTCAGCGTCTTTAGAATGCCTGTCTCAGATTCGTAAATTTGGTCACATATTTACTAGCCTAGAGGATTCTCGCTGGCTAACAGACGAATGTTTTAAATCGCAGCTTTTATTCTTAATTTAAAAAATAATATCTCTCCAACGTTCGACGTATCTCGATCGATATTCATTCGGTTAATATTGGCTATAGGGGGCTGTTTACTGTTTACCGTTGCCAAACATACTTCAGCACAGTTTCACGTACAATGCTATCAAGGCTTACAACAAACTCCCTCTCCAACCGAAATCAATCACCTCACCAACTTCATTCAAACAAAAACTTAAACAATACATTTATCATAATAGAGACCGGTCATAAAACTAGTAACTATCAAATTGTATATTGTATTTCTTTTTTGAATTCTCTCTAGCAGTGTCTACCATTTTGAATGAATGTCTATGTAATTTATATGCTATTTTTTATTTTATAAATAGTGTCATATGTTCGTTTTAGAGGGTTGCATAAGAGCAACTATGTTGGATGCCGCCCGCACAGTTATATATTTATTAGACCATATTAGACCATAGACTGATTAGGGCCAAAGTGAACATAAACACCAAACTGGAAAGAAACAAATTATTGCGTCCATACGAATTTCCAACATTAGCGAAATTAAAACAACATGAAGACAAAGTTAATGTGTCATACTAAGTAACGAAAGAACAGTAGATTATCACAACAAACCAAAAAATTGATGGACGAATGAAGAAATTTGAAAAAGGGTACTATCGAGCACACCGAACTAATTAAACAAATTAGAAAGAATGTGAGACAAGACATCAGGAATCACAACACACCACTCGTAAAAGAAGTAATTGAAGAAAATAAGGTTATGAAAATCATAATAACCATCAACTGAGTTGGGAGAAAGCGAATACACCAACTAAGAAACGAAAATGTAAATATTGTACAGGAAAGCAACGAAGTCATCCAAATGAAAAGCCCCTGGCGAAGATGGGATAACCAAGGAAATGATAATTCCATGAATATTCTCCTTAATAAATACATACTGAGCGGAACAATCCAAGACAACTGCTACAACGTCCAGGTCATTGTTCTGTTTAAAAAGAGTGATAAATTCAATATTAAGAACTATAGAACAATATCATCAGCAGACTCGCCACGAAATTCGACAACTATAGCACTATTGAGAAAAGTCAGAACGTGATAACACTAATCGAAAAGTCCAACAAATACAACAGAAATATCCATCTGGCCTTTATCGACTACAACAAAGCTTTCGACTCCATTGAGTCTATATTTCGAGCAATAGACAACGCCAGGATAGATTCCAGATACAGAGATCTGATGAAAAATATATATATGAAAAGGCTACGTTACAAGTAAATATCGGAGAAAACTTATCCACTGCGTTGATTTCTGTCGGGAGAGAGGTGAGACAGGGAGGCTCTATTTCCCCAAAACTTTTCTCACTGGCACTGGAAGATGTTTTCAAGCATCTCAACCACAAAGGTCTTGGGATTGATGGGCGATATCTAAATCATCTTCTTTTTGCGGGCTTATCAGCAGTGACGCGGATGAGTTGCAGAGACTGCTCTGGGCATGGCAGGTCTAACCATTAACTTAACGAAGACCAAACTCATAACACCACAAGTCACACAAATCCAGATAGGTGGTCAGTCTACATCAGTCAGTCACGTCCACCTATGTCACCAAATAAAACTAGGGATTGATAACCAGCACGCCGAAATTCAAAGAAGAGTCCGTATGACTACTGGCAGGCTTGGTTTCACCCTTAAAAACCCTAAGATCCCCATCAATCCGAAGTCCAAGGTTTTTAACAGTAGCATTCTTCCAATTCTCACATACGGACTAGAGATACACTGCCAGAGGTGCTAACAAACTCAGAACCACTTGAGAAACGAAGAGATCAGACGACGGACGGAAGTTGAGTTGGGCAGGGCATGTTGTTAGACAGGACGACAATTGTTGAACAAAACATATTATGCAGTCTCGACCGAGACTGCATAAAAGAAGTGTCCGGTCTACCCCCTAGAAGATGGATTTACGATATATATCCAGGAGCGGTTGTTGTTGATAAAGAGACAAGAGAGAAAAGAGAGAGAGAGAGAGAGAGAGAGAGAGAGAGAGAGAGAGAGAGAGAGAGAGAGAGAGAGAGAGCGCGATATTGAATTCAGAATTGGCATTATTTTCTTGTTCTGCCTAACGCATGAAGTAATTTAATGGTTTTGACTGGGGGGGGGGGGCTTTCAGTGGCATCTCGCAGATCCTTTATTGTATGTTTTTGTAAATTTGCTTTTGAAGCTAACACCATAAAAAGTAATCAAGTACTAATGCGGCTGGGTAGCCATCTTTTCTTGTTCAAAAAATTTACTCTCACTTCCTGGATATCTTATATATATTAGATATGTTCCAACACGCCCAAATATCTAATTGATGTGAGACTGCCTTCGTATATACAAAATTTTAAATTACTTCCTTAAATAAAACACGAATTACTAAAGTTGAAACCACCTTGCTGCTCCTGATAATATACAAAATGTTCTTTGTGTTCTGTGACGGCTATTTTACCTTTTTAAAATGTCAGTAATCAAACCAGATAATTTTTCCTGTGCAATTTAATGACTTAATAATTCAAAAAATAAAAATAATTCTCATAATAACTAGCTACTCCATTGGATTCTAAGTAAACAATTCTGTATATATGTATTTTTATTCTATCGACAACTTTAATATTAATGTAGATACTAGGAGTACCGCAAATCCCAAATTTTTAAAATCAGCCTGTAACTCAGAAACGCAATAGTATAAGAAGAATGACCTGGAAGCCAATTTTTTCATTATCATTTTTAGTGTTATGATCAGTTTGTTACTACCAGATGGTCGCTAAGTAGAATTTTCCCAGTTACAATTTTTATACAATATTTACCATCAACCAAACTGAATTAATTAAATGTCAATGATTAATTGGATTGGATTTTTAGGACAATTTTTAAAAGAAAACTTCGTATGAACACATGTCCAGAAATTAATTTTTTAATATCATATGTCGCAAACGTCTTAACTTTTGAGATACAGTTTTTTTTTAATTTTTTAATATCTGTCCACTTTAGATATTTTAATGAAATTTTCCACACGTGCACTATGTATCGAGAGGCATTATTTAGTACACCACATTTTTTTTTTAATATACCAGTGGAGGACGCATGGAATTTCAACTGTCTATTTTGGGAGACATTGATGGTACGCCATTTTTGTAGAAAAGTTAGCTTTTATTTAAACTTACTGGACTAAAAAAATTAAGAGTTCAAATCTACTCATAAATGAATGCAAACGTATTTTTTTTTAAGAAATCAGTGGCGTGCCACTGACTGTCTCTAATACAAAATATATAGATAACAACATCAGGTAAAAATTGTCTGTTAATATATTAACATATATAAACCAGATGAGTTGTTGAAATTGTTCTTCAACGTGAAGGATAAACACTATGTTAACTGGGGTGCGATAAACCAGACTTTTAACAAAAGTCCAAAATACTAAAATCTTGAGATCTAGGGGACCATGGTTTACGTCGGTCGCGACCTACCCATCGGTTTTTTAGTCTTTCTGGCAGACTAAAGGATCCAAAGAAGTAAACTCCAACGAATCCAGCCCAAACATTTACCGAAAACCGTTGTTGATTTTTAAATTCTACCACTGCATAGGGGTTTAATAGGCCCAAATATGGTTATTGTGGAAATTCTGATTCTATTTCTGGAAAAGATAGCTTCATATGCAAATAGTATTTCCAATTTGCCAAACTAAGACGTGCGAGATATTCAGAATTTAATATTTCTTCATCAATTTCTGCAGTTTTTACAGTCCGATGGGTCGTTTTTATTATAGGTTGCCCTCAAAGTATTTTTGGCAGTCAACCTCCTATGTACATCTACGCTTATCTATTAACGCTTCTCTTGATATAATCGCAGGACTTCAGCCAAACCATACAAACACATACAAACGCATATCTTCCAACTCCTCATTAACAAACTCAATCTTCCCTTTTTAAAATAACAAGGCTCGGATATTTTAAACACCGAAATAGTACTAGCAAAGAACCGCCGCGTAACAGCAAAATTAATAATTCTTAATAACGGAAAAAACTTTAAAGATTTCAGAAATAGTTTACGTACTTTAATTTTTTGAAGTATTTCAGTAAAACATTTACTTAAGTAAGAAATAATTATGATAAAAATTCTTTGGATGCTGCCATTTCAACGATGGTGTTATGACCATGCAGAACAAATATTTTCCAAATCAGGAAATTAAATTTCTTTAAAAATAATTGGATATTGCAAGAATAATTTTCATTTTAGGAGAAATCAGTGACGTACCCTCAATGTCTGCCAAAATAGGCAGGTGCAATTCCCTATGTCCGCCACTGGTATATTTTTAAAAAATTGTGGTGTACTAAATAATGCCTCTAGACACATAGTAGGCGTGTGCCAAATTTCATTGGAATATCTTAAGTGGCAGGACAGATATTAAAAAATTAAAAAAAAGCTGTAACTCAAAAGATAAGATGTTTACGACATATGATATAAAAAAACACAATTCCTGGGCATTCGTTCATACGAAGTTTTCTTTTAAAAATGGTCCTGGTGTAGTTAAAAATGAATCATGCCTCTTGATACATAGTGGTATTAAAGTCAATTAGAAAACACCCTGTATATTGCTTTTTACAAAACTTCTGGATTCCTCCTGCGTCGGTTTCAGCTTAGTCGAAATTGCTGACGTTTCGCCAATCATCCTGGTGGCTTCTTCCGAGCTTGACTGATTCAGTTTCAGTCAAGCTCTGAAGAAGCCACCAGGATGATTGGCGAAACGTCAGCAATTTCGACTAAGCAAAAATCGACGCAGGAGGAATCCAGAAGCTTCGTAAAAAGCATTACAGTAGCCAGTTTCTTTGAAAAAACCCTGTATGTTGGTACGTCGTTTTCTTTGAGTTCCCAGAAAGAAAACCTCGCTATCTGGGTTAGCGAAATCTCGAATACAAGAAATCACATACCTTTTTCGGAATCTTGATTGTAAATCGCCTAACCGCATCGCTTTCCTCGACCGCTTTTCCGGGTCCCCACCACGAATTTTCCTCAATTTTCGGCAACTGCGGCGGTGATACCAATTTGACAATTCCGTAGCACAAAATACCGAAAATCGTCGTAAGGACGAGCAGCGAAACGTATCTGATGTTGGACATCGTCACCGCAATCGAATAAAGGTACAACGATTGTTAACATTTTTCAATTAAACGCGATAAAATTGCCGTAGTTTACGTAGTCTGAAATCGTCCGAATGTCTGCGTTTCAAATGCGACATGTGTGATTGTACGTGAGACGCTTGTTCTACGAGGAGCGATTCGTTTGTTATTTATCCGTGACAATTTTTTATGGTCCGTTTGCTTTTTGTAATCCGTGAAGATGCGCGTTTTGAATAAACAACAACATTCACTGTTAACCTCATTTTGATTTCAGCCCTGTTTCTTTTTTCGTTCTTCCCTCTTTCCTGATGCTTATTTTGAATTTTCGACGTTTGCCCTAATTTTGATTTGCATCACAATGTTTTTAGATAAAACCTTTAAGAATTCTAAAAATGAGATTTTGCCTTTATATAACGTCGAAACTCTATATAGCGAAATTGAAGGAACTGCTTTTTTTTATAACGAGTTATGAGCACTTGTAAAATAACAATACTCATATGTGATCTGTAATATTTAATTATTTTATATACATATTTTAATACCTACGTCTACATTTTATATAAATATTTAAGAACTATATTTATATGTTTCTAATAATAGGTCATTTTCTTTTGAATTTTTTTAGTATGCCAATACGCATCTCGTACTTTAGCTTATATTTTCACCATTTCTTCGAGAGGGGCATCTACCCCATGATGCATAAAAAACTTCTCTAGCAGCTTAACTGAATATAGGGCTTGTTAAATGATTGGTGGTGGTCCCAGCTCAACTTCTTCATCTTCTTCTTCCGCTTGGTGCTCTTCCTCACCCTTTCTTGCTTGTTGTAATATGGCTTCCTCTGTCAAGTGTGCTGTTGTAGGAAAATCCTGATCTATCACCATAAAATCTTACAACTCCTCACTTGTAAACGCAATTGCTGTTTGAAACTGCTGTATCTACTCGTTTACTGGCTGATCATCTTCCAAGTCCGGTTCGTATTCTGTCTCGGTAATAAGTCCTGCATGACGATAGGAGTGTTGAATTGTTTCTGTTATCACCTCTTTGCAAACTTGACTGCATCTAGCATATTAATGGAAAATTTGTCTTCGGGCTCTACCATTTCCATTAAAATATTTTTCCTGTATCGACTCTTAAGACTTTTTATTATGCTCTGGTCTATCTGCTGTAATATACTTGTCGTTTTGGCTGGAAGGAATGCCAATTCAATATTCCGTAGATTTGGAAAATGGGGACGTGCAGTGCAGTTATCCAAAAGAGGTAATATTTTCCTCCGTTTTAATTCTGCATCCCATCTCCGTGTCTCCTCTTCAAAAATTTGCGATGTCTTCATGCACACTTGCTTGCCTTGTAAGTAACCGACAAATGCTTGATGTTCTTAAAACATCGTGGGTTAGTTGATTTTCCAATCATGACTAGCTATCTTTCTTCTCTCCCACTCATATTGGCAGCTACTAACACTGTTATACGTCCTTTAGAAAGTTTTCCGCCCACACATTTTTCCCTTCGAAATTGAAGAGTTTTATCTGGGGTCATTTTGTAAAAAATACCAGTTTCGTCAGCATTAAAAATGTTGTCAGCAGTTTTGGCCACGTCTTCTCCAGCCAATCGTTAGTGACGTTTCTGTCGACATCACGAGCTTTATCACTTATCTGTCCATAATTTAATCGATAATGCCAAGCTGTTCTGCTTTTAGTTTTACGATAGGTCCAGAGAGTGGTACATTTTTAAGACGTTGCTGTTGGAACCACTGCAACATTGCCCGATCCAAATCTTAAAATTTTTTCTTTCGATATTGAATTTGAGAAATTCGTTATACAGAGTGGATTAGTACATAGCGCACTCTTTTTTTAACCAACCTGGGCTCGCCTCAAAATAAAAGCAATTAAATCATAAATATTGTAGTATAAGGTTGCCTCAAAAAATTTGACCATAGGTGCTAATTGCAAGACATATTGCATATATAGTATATACTTTTTGCTGCAGCTGGTTTCGTTTCGTAGACACGCGGTGAAATTTAAAAAAATTATATATGTTTTTAAATTTTAATTAAAAGTAATCTTGAACATTTCCGTTGAGGTTCAGAAACTTATTTTATTTGATGTTTTTGTTTGGTTGACACAATGGTGAAGGTGAAGTTGGGATCCTCTCCTATTATTAAACGCGCTTTAATTAAAACTAAATACGCGTTATTTAATTGACGAATTGATAGAAATGTTTTCAGTTCATTTTCCCGCTGAAACTACACAATTAAGCTTATTATTACCTTATTTGAGTGAGGCACCGTAATAAATAACTGCAAATGACTGAGAATGTCGACAATAGAACAGAAGAAAGAGACAATAGAGATTCGAATATTTTACTGCATGTGAAAGAAAACAAACTGTAAATTTTTGAAAGAAACTTACACAGGCTGTGAAACTTCTTGATTCCTGCTGCGTCGGTTGTTGTTGAATCGAACTTGTTGACGATTCGCCAATCAACGTCTTGACTTTTTCAAAGCTTAGCTGAAACTGTTTCAGAAGGTCCAGAAGTTTTGTGAATAGGAAAACAAAATGAAATATTTGTTTTGTTTTACACTCAAGAACGAGTCAAATGAAAAAAAAAAAAACAGTATTGGATCCAAGACTATGAATACTAGAAGCCAATATCCTCAAGAAATAAATGTTATGGTGGGGATTTGAGGATACCTTCACTACAGAAACCTATTTGTACTTATTACAAAATCAAATTGAACCCCCACTAGAAGAAGTTGTTCGTAAAGTTTAGGAGGATTGGTTCGAAATGGATGGATGTTCCGCCCATAATGCCCGTATGAGTGATAATAAGAAAAACATAATGGTGTAGGCATACCATCATGTTAATTTATTTTGAATGTGTGAAACCAAATGGGCATGTTTTTATTGGATATTTCATTGTCCAGCTATTATATTTAATTCAATAACTGAAGATTGCCTCATTAAAATTTATTCAAACTCGGCGCATGAGTTAATCATACTGGCCCCTCAAAAAGTTACATTACAACTTTCCAATAAAATCTACAGGGGAATCAATATTGGACACCGAAAAATATGCATGGTATTTCCTATGTGCCTTTCGGCAATGCATCACCCGGTATAATAATTTTCGTCCGAAAAGGAATCATCCGCACGTGCTTCTACATTTCTACATTAACCTGCCCATTTTCTTTGTAAGCATTGAAATCCACACTTAAGTTGAAAACAATAAATTCTGCAAATTATTTTTGAGGTTCTGCGAAGCCCACCAGATGGAATTTTAGAACCCGTTTTTTCCAAAATTTTCTTATACTAATGACACTTAGGGGGAACACTGTTTTAAACCTAGGACTTATTCACTTCTTTTTTGTTAGATGCTTCTTACTACATCATTTAAGACAAAATGGTGAGGAGTGCTCCAACATTTCCGGAAATAAACTTCTAAAATGACTGAATGGATTTCAATACCCAGCAGATGGTGTTTTCTGGCATAATGGCATGCATTAATACGATTTTTTTTACATCAGGAGATAGCCAAACAAGGTCCCACCAATCCAGTGAAAACCGCATCTCAATATCCATATCCCAACCCTTGTTGAGGCAAGACTGGGTGGGGAGCAGGTCTCCATCGGTTCATCACGGGGTTGTCCACAGGGCGGGGTCTTGTCCCCATTCCTGTGGTGCCTAGTGGTGAACGAGATATTGCATATTCTGAGGATATGCATACGATCTTGTGATAATGACGCAGGGGACGGACGTGAAGAGGATGCAGGGGCTCCTGAACGGGGCATTGGCAAGATTCTCACAATGGTGCCTGGACAGCAAGTTGGCTGTCAATCCTGGCAAGGTGGAGATGGTCATCTTCACTAGGAAAAGGAAGATGGAGTGCAACCTCAACATTTCGATGGATGGGGTGCCTCTTTCTGCAAGCGGAAGTGTCAAGTACTTGGGCGTATGGTTGGACTCTAAGTTGACCTTCCAGGAACATATAAGATCAAGGACCAGGTCGGCCTTTGGAGCTCTGTGGGCGTGCCGGAGAGCGGTAGGGGGCACTTGGGGCCTGGGGCCGAAGATCATGCAGTGGATCTACGGTACCATGGTGGTGCCTATGCTCACGCATGGGGCAGTGGCATGGTGGCCGGGGACCAAAAGAGCGGGAGCAAGGCTAGTCCTTGACAGACTGCAGAGATTGGCTTGCCTCTGCATAACGGGCGCCATGAGAACGGCGCCCACGAGGGCCCTGGAGGCTCTGGTGGGGCTGCCCTCTCTGGCGGATCGGGTGCAGATGGAGGCGGCCAGGACAGCTGTGAGGCTGGCGCGCTGCGGGCTCTGGAGGGAGGGAACCTTCGATCGGGGTCCGTACGACATTTTAGGGGGCTGTCGCGGGGATCGCGGGGTCATGGGCATGCCGAGTGACGTCATGATCCCCGAGATGACCTTCTTTGATAAATTGATCTTTCTCTTTCCATCAAGGGAAGATTGGAGAGAGGGCAGAGTCGGCTCCTGGGATGGACTTGTCTGGTACACGGACGGGTCCCGAATGGGAGATCTGGCCGGAGCTGGAGCGTACTGCGAGACGACGGGATCAAGCTTGTCGGTCCCTCTGGGTCAGTACTGCACTGTGTTTCAGGCGGAAATTTTCGCTTTATTGATGGCGGCCAGAGAGGTGCTTCGGCTCAACTGCGGAAGCAGGAGAGTCTTCTTCTGCTCGGATAGTAGGGCTGCACTCATGGCGCTGAAGTCAGTGCGTACGCGCTCCTTGTTGATAAAGGAGTGCAAAGGGGTACTGAGGAGGGTGGCTCAGGAGGGAAAGGTCACGTTGGTCTAGGTCCCGGGTCACACCGGTATCCGGGGCAATGAGGCAGCGGACGCCTTAGCCAGGGAGGGCGCCTCGCATAGGCATATAGGGCCAGAGCCTCGCTTGGGGATCGCCCCGTGTGTGAGGCGGGGAGCTCTCGAAGCCTGGTCGAGAGACCGGGCCGCGGAGGGCTGGAGAGTTGCTCCGGGAATGAGGCAGGCGAAGCTTATGATGGATAGGCCCGCCCTTCCTCGGACCAGGGAGCTGCTTGGACTGACCAGAAGGGAGTGT